AGTGGGTGCTGTATTGGAGATGTGTACCAGGTACAACAGGAACCTAAAGAAAAAAACCTTGAGTTTATCAGGGGGCACCAGGGAAGCCTTCACAGAGGAGATGGTGTGAGTTACATTTGAAGAATGAGAAATTGTTTTTCTGATTAAACAGGAAAGAGAATTCCAGGCAGAGGGAAAGCATGTTTAAAACCCTACAGATTAATTTACTCGGTCTAGAATTGAAAGGATAAGGTAAATAGATAAAGACAGACAAATCATGGAAAGCCTTTGAATACCATGCTAAGGAATTTAAATTTTGTATCAGAGGGAAAATAAAACTAGCAAAGAATTTTGAGCAGAAATTTGATCAGGTTTCTGCAGTGTAGATTATTGGGATGGCCAGGGAGTGAGCAGTAGAGAATATAATGTAGAGAATGAGATTCTTGTCACTTTTCAGGAGAGAAAGTATAGGAGAGGGGAAAAATAGCTGCTATGTTTTATGTCTGAGTAACTGGCAATATTTTTTTTAAATAAATCTTAAAAAGGTATGCTTTTGAGGGAAAACTCTAACTTTAAAAAGTGAGTTTTATAGTGATGGAGATAGAAAGACCCAGCAGACTGAGAAGCAAAATTAAATCTCAGTGCTCAAGATGTCACCATGGGAGCCAATATCGAATGTCCATTGTTATTTCCCCTTGTGTCTTACATACCACAAGTTTTGAGTCCGGTGAACTGATCAGAACCATTCTTTTAGGAATAATGTAGCATGCTTGCATTCAAAAAGAAATGAACTATAGTTGCCACCTTCATCTTATCCTTCACCTGTAATGTTTGCTGTTTCTCTTCAGTGCCTCATACAAAAGCAGGCGCTGTCATCTCCAGCCAGCTGAAATGCAGAGTAGAGAAATGCACATATCTCACCAGCATTTCTTAGTTATGGTGGTAAAATGGAAACACCAGGGCAAAGTCAATTCTGCGTCTAAGTGAAAATTCACTTCCTTGTCAAGCACAAGCTTTTTTACATTAATCCCAACAGGCATGAATTCTCATTAACAGCCTAAAGCATAGATAGTGGATCAGAGGCTTATATTCAGGAGTTGTAGTCACAGAGGAACAGCCATGGATGAGTAACTTAAAAGTAATAATTTTTACACCAGGGAGACTACAATAATTTTACTATTAATAGCTGGACAGAATTTTGAGATCTTGAGAGTAAGATACTTTATAAATGCGTCTCATTGTTGTCTACCTTCCATATGCTGTTAAAATAAACTATCATTCAAAAAGAGTAATCTCTACTGGAAAAAATAAAACAGCCCAGGTGTGGTGGCTGATGACGCCTGTAATCTCAGACACTTATAAAACCGTCAGCTCTCATGAGAACTCACTGTCATTAGAACAGTATGGGGGAAACTGCCCCTATGATTCAAGTACCTCCCACCAGGTCCCTCTCACTACACATGGGGATTATGGGGATTACAATTCAAGGTGAGATGTGGGTGGAGACACAGAACCAAATCATATCATTCTGCCCCTGGCCCCTCCCAAATTCCATGTCCTCACATTTCAAAACACAATCATGCCTTCCAACAGTCCCCTAAAGTCTTAACCCATTCCAGCATTAACCAAAAAGTCCAAGTCCAAAGTCTCATCTGAGACAAGGCAAGTCTCTTCTGCCTATGAACCTATAAAATCAAAAGCAAGTTAGTCATTTCCTAGATACAGTGGGGGTACAGGCATTGGGTAAATACGTTTATTCCAAACGGGAGAAATTGGCCAAAATAAAGGGGCTATGGGCCCCATGCAATTCCAAAATCCAATAGGACAATCATTAAGCCTTAAAGTTCTAAAATGATCCCCTTTGACTCCATGTCTCACATCTAGGTCATGCTGATGCAAGAGGTGAGCTCCCACAGCCTTGGTAAACTCTGCCCCTGTGTCTTTGCAGAGTAACCCCCATCCCACGGCTGCTTTCACAGGCTGTCATTGAGTGTCTGCAGCTTTTCGACATACACAGTGCAAGCTCTTGGTGGATCTACCATTCTGGAGTCTGGAGGATGACAGCCCTTTTCCCACAGTTCCACTAGGCAGTGCCCCAGTGGGGACTCTGTGGGGGGGTTACAACCCCACACTTCCCTTCCACACTGCCCTAGCAGAGGTTTTCCATGAGGGCCCTGCTCCTGCAGTAAACTTCTGCCTGGACATCTAGTCATTTCCATATATCCTGTGGAATCCAGGCAGATGTTCCCAAGCCTCAGTTCTTGACTTCTGTGCCCCTGCAGGCCCAACACCACACGTAAGCTGCTAAGGCTTTGGGCTTGCACCCTCTGAAGCAATGAGAGCTATATATTGGCCCATTTTAGCACAGTGGGGATGGAGGGTACCAAGTCCAGAGACTGCACAAAGCAGCAAGGCCCTGGGCCTAACCCACTAAGCCACTTTTTCCTCCTAGGCCTCCTGCTCTGTGATGGAAAGAGCTGCCATGAAGACCTTCGACATGCCCTGGAGACATTTTCCCCATTGTCTTGGTGACTTAACATTTGACTCCTCATTAATTATGCAAAATTCTGCAGCTGGCTTGAATTTATCCCCAGAAAATGGTATTTTTTTTCTACTGCATTGTGAGGCTGCAATTTTTGCAAACTTTAATGCTCTGTCACCTCTTGAACATTTTGCTACTTAGAAATTTCTTCCACTAGATACCCTAAATCATCTCTCTGAAGTTTAAAGTCCGCATATCCCTAGGGCAGGGGCAAAATGCTGCCAGTCTGTTTGCTAAAGCATAGCAAGAGTCACCTTTACTCCAGTACCCAACAAGTTCCTTATCTCTATCTAAGACCACCTCCTCCTGGACTTCATTGTCTATATTACCATCAACATTTTGGTCAAAGCCATTCAAGAAGTCTCTAGGAAGTTACAAACTTTCCCACATTTTCTGAGCCCTACAAGCTGTTCCAACCTCTGCGTGTTAGCCAGTTCCAAAGTTGCTTCCACATTTTCGGGCAGTACCCTCCTCTCTGCAGTACCAATTTGCTATATTAGTCCATTCTCACACTACTATAAAGAAATACTTAAGACTGGGTAATTTACAAAGAAAAGTGGTTTCATTGACTCACATGGCTGGGGAGGTCTCAGGAAACTTAGAATCATGGTGGAAGACATCTCTTCACAAGGCAGCAAGAAGATAATGAGTGCCAGCAGGGGAAATACCAGACATAAAACTATCAGATCTCATAAGTACTCACTCACTATCACGAGAACAGCATGGGGGAAACTGCCCCCATGATTCAGTTCCCACCAAGTCCCTCCCATGACACATGGGGATTATGGGGGTTACAGTTCAAGGTGAGATTTGGGTGGGGACACAGCCAAACCATACCAGCCATAGAGAGACAGTTCTAAGTGTCTGCAGTTCTTAGAGGCCATAACAAATATAGTAAGATAACATATCTCAAAACATAAAGGATCTAGTGTCCTTTCTTTAATGCCAAACTTTTTCTTCTAAAAAAATTTTATTGAGTATTTTCATATGCAGTAAGCTATGTTAGGCACTATGGAACATATAAGTAATTCAGACTTCTTTCATGAATTTAAATAGAAATACAACCCTAACTATACGTACATGTCACATATACATACACACATACACTATCAGTTAAAGAAGTGTATCATTAGGATGCTTTGAGCTGGGGGAAAAAAAACACAAAACCCCAATTCAAATAAACAGTAAAGAAATTTATTACCTCATATAACAAGAAGTTCAGAATTAGGGCAGCTAATAGGGCTTAAGCTTTATTTTTCTGCAATTCTTTTAGCCTAGCCCTCCTGTTGGCTTTGTCCTCAGACCAGCTGAGCACACGATTTACAAGAGGACTCAGGCAGGCCTGGACATCATGGGCATATGAGACAATATCCAGAGGCAGATAAAAGAGCTTTCTCTTTTGTAAACAAGTTTGGGATCTGTTAGCAAGGAGATAATGGGGAATGGATGCTATCAGGAGCCTCAATCTAGTGAAGTAGAGAGTACATGACAGTATGGCAAACACGGTACCAAGGATATGCAGTCTATATTGGTGGCAGCAGAAAGAAAGCCCTCCATTCTCTTCAGCTGGAGGGAAAGGGTAAGGGCTTGGTAGAGGCTGACCAGAGAAGACATCACTTGGGGAATATGTTGTAAGTTCAGTTTGGGCCGTGTTGAGTGTGAGGTACTATAGGACCTCCAAATGGGGAAGTACAATAAACAGTTGGATATATACTGGCCTAAAGCTGAGAAGAAAAGTCTAAATAAAAAGATACAGAACATAGGTGGGGGTGAAGGCTTTGAGGATGGATGAGGTAATCTAGAGCAGGGAAAGAATAGAACCAAGAATGAGATCCTGAGGAACACTGACATTTAAGCATGGGTGGAATAAGAGTTGCTGACAGAGACAGAAAATAAAATGAAAATATTGTAATGCCATCTATGTGTGGGATGGGTATAAGCCAACTAGAACTAACATTTTGTGGTATTTATACATGTGATTTGGATAAGGGACTGCCTAGGAACCTTACAATACCCATTCTTTGCTCAGGAGCAGGTATCCTTCCCCAAGAAACCAGTTGAATGATATATTTTGTTGGGGGTGTGACTGGACCTGAACAGTCCCCTAACCAAAGCAGAATTGGGGCATTAAAATTTCTATTAAAATGAATCAGGCCAGGCATGTCGGCTCATGCCTGTAATCCCAGCACCTTGGGAGGCCAAGGCAGGTGGATCACCTGAGGTCAGGAGTTCGAGAGCAGCCTGGCCAGCATGGTGAAACCCTGTCTCTACGAAAATACAAAAATTAGCTGGACATGGTGGCAGTCACCTGTAATCCCAGCTGCTCAGGAGGCTGAGTCAGGAGAATCGCTAGAACCCAGGAGGTGTAAGTTGCAGTGAGTGGAGATTGTGCCACTGTACTCCAGCCTGGGTTACAGAGTGAGACTTCATCTCAGTCAGTCAATCAATCAATAAAATGAATCTCTCTCTTTTTTTGCAGGAGTGGTCACACATTACTTGCCTTCTGGTTTTCCCGCCAAGAGGGAAAACTAAACCGACAGCAGACTATTGAACTGGGACATCACATCCTCAAAGCACACATTTTTAAGGTAATTAAAGCAGTTGGAACCTTTTTTCCCCATCTCTAGCAGACTTTTATACACTACATGTAAGAAAATACTATTCAGTGAAGTCCCTGCCTTCTGAAGTTCTTTTGCTGCAGACTTGGTTCATTCATCTCCTAACACATATGGCCTTTTCCTCCCTAGGCCTTTAGGAAGAGAACTACATTGTACATCTCCCAGTATAATCAGTTGATAGGCTTTTCAGGAAATCTATATGTATAATCATTGACAAGGAACATATACTCCTACAGATATGTGCTCCATACATGACCTATCATGTACTGAGGACAGTCATATTCTAGCAATTAGTTGCCAGTTTTCACAATGTCTAAAAAATCACTGAGGTCTCTTTCAATTTTTTAATCATTGTTACTCTTTCAATTTTTTAATAATTGTTTTAGTGAAGATAACATTCCTGGTACTATGATTTTCAAACTCTCTGGAATCAACACTAACCTTCCTTGGAGCTACTTCCCCCAGTCTCTCTTCAAATTATATCCCAATTTTTCTCCCATTAGTTTGAAAACCTTTAAGGACTCTATAACACCACTTTCTCTCTCTCAGCCTTCAAAAGACTGAAATGGAGGACCAAAAGGAGGACATATAATTAATTTGTGTATGTATGTATTCATTGTTTATTCATCAATTACTGAGGCATTAAACTAGGTACTAGGGATACAAAAACAAAAAAGATACAGTCCCGAATCTCAAGGAATTTGTAGTTCAGATAACAGTTTTGGGTTAACCCACAAAAGCAGAGAAGGAAATTATTGTCCTCATTTTTCTGTCCCACAGTCTGAGAGTTCCAATCCCTACAGCCTTTTCAGAAGTCTTTTCCTGCCTCACAATGAAGAAATATGGGTATCTTAAACAGTTCTCTGGGTCAAGATTCCTCTAAAGGATATTGTTTAAAAATGAAACTATTATCTTAAAAGAGAAAGATGGCATTAAGGACAACTCCAAGAGCCTAACAAATTCTTCCCAATATATAATAAACACATACCCAGAGCAGCCTAGTCATCAGATGGACAGAAGTGAAACCCACAGTGACAAATCTTTTATTTGAATCTTATTGTCCTGTCTATACCAAATCACTATACCAAAAATGACCTTACTTAGTAGGAGCAGAGGGGAGCTAAAATAAAGCAAGGTATGTCATTCCAGTTTCAGGCAGACTAAAAAGTAGCTAATAATTTCATAAACTCTTAAGAGCATTGTCCTGCTGTTAGATAGTAACTGAAAGATAGTACCTTAAGTATTCATCTTTTAGCATCACCATCTGCCTAGAATCAGATGCAAAGATGAAGCTAATGCCTGCCTTTGTTGCACCATAAAATAAATACCACATACACAGAGAAGTAGCATGAAGCTTCATTTGACCAAGTATTTTATCCCATACGTGGAAACCTACATTGAAACATGAACTCCTGTCATTAGCACAGTTTTATCTTTTTTTGATGCAGACAGCATGGTTGCCGGAGATAAGACTGGCTCCATGTGTGATTCAAGCCATAAATACTCTAGTGTACAGCATATGGTGATGACGTGACTGCAAGCTGAAGAATGAAGACTTGGACTATGGTTTTCCTGGTGCTGCAGATTACAGGATCCTTTAAATGCAGAGTGTTCCCTGTTGATAGGCTTTAACTTCTCCCAAACTGCTAGAATTCTCAATCTGTACCAGCTGTGGGTCAAAGGCAAATATAGACTTTATGGTTATAAATAGTTCCACTTGAAACTTCTGTTCAGCAGTGACACACAATCCAATGTGTACTTTTTTCCAATTAATTTTAAATTTCTGTGGTTTTAGTTTCATAAAGGCAATGTTTATAAATAACCTGCTTTAAAGAAACTCATTGGATAAGCTAGTTTTTTCCGTGATCTTAAGATCCCTGAGCCACAGCTTAAAGATTCCTAAGGTTAGATTGCTCTTGTTTCTTCCTGCTTTCCCTGTTTTCTTAAAGTATTCAGAAATCTTGAGCAAGCTTATCACCAGCTGGTAAACAGCGTTGTAAGTTTAGATTCTAAGGAAGGGACTATACTACCATTTATTGCCGAAAAAAGATTTCTTACCTGAGCAGTAGTTGCAGATACTGAAGAGGCACTTTTTCAAGCTATTTGAACATAAAATTGTCTTTAAGAAACCACGAGCTTAGAATTTAATTATGCATTATTTTTTGCTGCATCCTGGCTGGTAATGGGATCACACTTCTCTGCCTGTCATCTTTGTTGAGTTGAGCCAAACTGAAGCTCTTTCCTCCTATACTTCACAGGAACAAAGGGTCAACTCCACTAACCAGAAGAAATCAAAAGTCCATGGTTCATGTAAAGCTAACATTCCAAATCCAAATCTCTGTATTTCAGGCTTATTTCTTATGTATTTACTCCAGCCTCAGTGGGGTTCCCAGTGCTGTTTCGTGGTCCATTTACTGGACCATTTAGATGACATTCATTTACCAAGGTCCATTCTTAACTCAGCTTCTTTTCCCATTTCTTTTTCCTCTAGCTCTTAATAAAGCCAACTAATGCAACAAATAGCTTAACTTGTGAGTCACTGAAAAAGGTCAGAGCTACCAAGTGTGACTTCAACTATTTTCCTCCCCTCACCAGCAAATCAATCTATATCATTATCAATTCTTACCTCTTTTTTTCTTGTTTTAGAGGAAAAGCTGTTCCTATTCCTCTTGAATTGTATTATGAAATACAGGAAAGCACAGATAATTGAATGTAATCAAATATTATCTATAAGATTTAATAAACGTTAACATTTTTCCATATTTCCTTCAAATCTTTTTAAGAAACAAGTGTAACAAATAGATAACACTTTTGTGTTTCTCTCTAACCCCATTTCTCTCTGTCCCCTAGAGATAACTCCTATTCTAAATGTTAGGATTTAGCACATGCTAACACCCCTAACATGTTCTTCTTATCTATATTTTATACTTTTCCAACATAGGTTCATATTCATAAACAATATATACAACTATTTTGCATTTTTTTAATACTATAAGATTCTGTAACTTTTTTCTTTTTCACTCAGCATTGTGTCTTTGAGATTTCTCTATAGATGTAGGTTGGTGATTTTCAACTCTAGCTATACATTAGATTCTCTTGCAGAGTTTTTTTTTTAAATACACACACATTCCTGAGCCTTACTCCCAGAGATTATGAGTCATTGTTCTGGAGTAGAACCTAGACTTCATTTTTAAAATAGATTTTATTTCTTAGACCAATTTTAGGTTTACATAAAAATTGAACACAAAGTACAGAGTTTTCACATACTCCCCCAACCAGTTTCCCTATTATTAACATCTTGTACTGATGTGATACATGTTACAGTTGAGGAACCAATAGTGATACATTATTATTAGCTGCAGTCCATCCTTTACCCTAGGGTCCACTCTGTGTGTTGTACAGCTCTATAGATTTTGCCAAATGCGTAATGTCATGTATCCATCATTAAGTATCATACAGCATAGTTTCATTGCACTAAAATTCCTTTATCCTCCACCTATTAATTCCTCTTCTCTTAGCCTCCTCAACCCCTGGCAACCACTGATCTTTTTACTGTTTCTATAGTTAGACTTTCCCAGAATGTCATATAGTTGGAATCACACAACATGTAGAATGTTCAGACTGGCTTCATTCACTTAGCAATATGCATTTAAGATTCCTACGTGTCTTTTTTGGCTTGATATCACATTTCTTTTTATTGTTGAATTTCACTATATGGGTTCACTACATTTTATTTAGCCATTCATCTTGGTTGCTTCCAATTTTGGCAATTATGAATAAAGCTTCTATAAACACTAAGATACCAGTTTTTATGTGAACATAATTTTCAATGCATTTGAGTAAATCCCTTAGTAATTCAGTTGCCATATTGTGTGGTAAGACTACGTTTAGCCTGTAAGACACTGCCAAACTGTTTTCCAGAGCGGCTGTGCCATTTTGCATTCCCACCGGCAATGACTGAGCACTAGTATTTTTGAGAAGCTCCCCAGGTAATTCTAATGAGCAGCCCAGCTAGTTGAGAAACCACTATTCCTTTCTTTTCCTTTTTGAAAAAAATCACTATTGATGGCAGCATGGCAAGCATGGTAGTTAAGAGATGAGACTCCAAAGCAGACTGATTTAAAACCCTGTCTCTTACTCCCTGACTGTATGACCTTAAGCAAGTTGTTTAACTTTATTTTTTTATTTTTTTGGAAACAAGGTCTTACTCTGTCACCCAGGCTGGGAGTATAGTGGCACAATTACAGCTCACTGCAGCCTTGAACTCCTGGGCTCAAGTAATCTGTCTAACCTCAGCCTCCCAAGTAGCTAGGACTATAGGCAAACACCACTACACCTAGCTAATTCTTTTTTGTAGAGATGGGGGTCTCACCATGTTGCCCAGGCTAGTCTTGAACTGCTAGTCTCATGCAGTCCTCCCTCCTTGGCCACCCAAAGTGCTGGGATTACCACCACTAATCTAATCTTTAAAATGGGAATAATATTAGCACTTATGTGGTAATTGTGATGATTTAATTCATTAACATGTATAATGCTCAGAAGAGGGGCTAAGATCTCTAAGAGCGATACACATACATATATTTGGGGTTGAGTCACCAAAATGTAGGTGACTCTTACCTATATTTAATAGTTACATATATAAATGTTATATATATTAACAATTATAGTAGAAGCCCCTTTATATCTCTCCCTTAACCTCATTCTCCTCCCTCCCCAGAGATAACCCTTATCCTAAAGTTAGCATACATATGTCAACAGAAAGATAACTGTTACAGGTCATAGACACAATTTTACTTTAAATTTAATAGTTGGAAAAAAACATATAATGCTTAGTTAAATTCATAAGAGTAACGTCTTAGGAGTAGAGGAAATTGAGATTAAAAAGGACAATTTTGAAGAAGAGGGCCAAGGATGGAAAATGGTATGTAATTAAAGGCAAAGGGAGAAAGCAGCAATCAGCTGTTTTGTCTATTTTCATCTATTATAGTTGCTGTTTTTTCAGCTAAGAATTCAGAAGTGAGGTCCTGAATCAGATGCCAACTACTTTTCCTTTTTTTCAGTTGGTATAATGGAAGGAACATGAACTTTAGAGTAAAAACAGATTTGGCCTCTAATGCCAGCTCCAGTAGTTGTGTGGCTTTAAGCAAATTACTCCACCTTCTCTAGATTGTTTCCTCCTATATAAAAATAGTGATAAATTCTACCTCCTAGGGCTGCTGTGGAGATTGAATTTCATTAGAGAAGCTAAATATGGAAAGCCCTAGCACAGACCCTGACACACGGTATATCTGAATAACTGTCAGCTTTCCTGCCTTTTTTTCCTTCAATCATACTATGTAAGATGTGTCTTCCATTGCTGAAAGTTTCCTCTGTTTGACTATGGGTATTTCTTAATGCTGATTTTTCTCTCTGAATTAGTTAATATAGTTTATTGTTCCTCAAAAGGTCTTGAGGCCCACACGTATTATAAATTAGGAGACTGAGGCCCAAATGGAGAGTCAGAACTAAGTTTCCTGGTCTTCCAGGATCTACAGTGGAGGTACACTCAAGAACCTACTTGTCTGGACACCAACCCTGAGTAACATTTAGAATTCTTCCTAAAACATCTGGAACTATTCTATTTCATATGTCAAAACAATAATCAGAAGTACTTAGTAATGTGTCTGCTTCAGTTCTGTTTACATGTAAACTGCTTAGCCAAATGAGAGTTTGTAATTGATATCCCTGTTATTTGCACAAATTAAAAGAGCTTCTGAAGTGATAATGAGCAGTCAGACGCTGCCCTTACCCACCTTTCCTATTGTTTTCTGTTTACCCAGCTCTGGGTGCCTACATGGTACAATAGTAGGCAGATTCAGAACAGAACCCAGGCTCCTCAAGGCCAGAGAGAATATGGACCGTGTAGAAATTAGGTGGCCATTTTTAAATAATCAAGGAGGATGAAGAAGGAAATGATCTTGTGGTGTGAGGGTTAAACTGGATTCTGTTTCAGCCTCCCAGCATGGGATTGTGTTTCTGGGCACCGAAATGTCTGTTCTGCTAGGATTTGGCTCAGCTTTTTGTCTCATGCTCTTGTCCATCATTTATAATTAGGATAGAATGGAACGAGAGGATGCATAGAAATAATTAACACCATCCTTCCTCATTTTATCAAGCTGTGGATTTTATGTTGAGATTTTATCAGCCACTTTGATAAAGCCATGTCAAAATGTTACAAAATATAAATGTATCAACTTATTGAGGCATATTCTATAGATATATAGATATATATGCATAGGTGTATAAAGATACATACATATGGATGATTATTAAAAGTTATAATAGTGAGGGAGAAAAAAGTCTGAAACTACTTAATATGAAAGTGTTTTAAAGCCAGTAACAGTATATGTACCTATGTGAATCCCAGTTCAAACGGAAAAAATTTTAATTCCTTTTTTGAGCAAATCACCACAATTTGAACACTCTTGGGATATTTCATATTATAGAATCCTTCTTAGTTTTAGATATGTTTTAAAGAGTTCATATCTGTTTAGAGGCTCTTACTAAAATACTTAAATATTAACTGATAAAATACCCAGGATTTTTCAAAATAATCCCAACAAGGGAAGGGGGACATGCGCAGGATTGTAAATAATACATGGTTGGTCGTGAATCGAAAATTATTGAAGTGAGGTGATGGGTACATGAGAGCTTTATTATACTATTCCTCTCTACTTTTGTAAGTAGGTTTGAAATTTTCCTTAATAAAAAATGTTTAATAAAATAAATTTTACATAGTTTATATGCACTTGTGTGTATTTTCCATATATATCTATAATGTCTTAAATAATAAACATTAATATATGAATAGGAGCCACCGGGTGGTTGAAGCTACTTTTATTTTTAATACCATATTACTTTATTTGACTTTTATAACAAATTTGTATTATTTTTATAATTTTAAAACTTAAATGTAGAAGTCTTTTTTTCTTGTTTTTTTTTTTGGTTGTTATTTTTCAATTTCTGTTTTTTTTCTTTGAGACAAGGCCTTGCTGTGTTACCCAGGCTGGAGTGCAATATTATAGTCACTGCTTACCACAGCCTCAATGTCCCACGCTCAAGCAATCCTCCCACATCAGCCTCCCAAGTAGCTAGGACCACAGGCATGCACCAACACACCTAATATTTTAATTTTTTGTAGAGATGTAGTCTCCCTACACTTCCCTGGTCTTGAGCTCCTGGGCCCAAGCAATCATCCCACCACCACCTCCCAAAGTGCTGGGATTACAGGCATGTACCACTGCACCTGGATGAAAATAAAATTTTTAATAGGAAAGTTTAAGGATTTAATTTTTGGTTACATCAAAATATCCCCACAGGGAGAAAAAAAGTGCCTGTGGCAGAAAAGCCTTTTAATAATGTTCACGTGTCTAGCCTTCCCACAGCATAATTCACCTTTCAGCCTTTCCTCTAGTGTGAGAATTTCCTCTACAGGAAGTTTTTTCCTAAACCACTTTAGAGACCCTGAACCCTCTATGGGAAGGCATTGACCACCATGACTAGAGCTCTTGTTAGATGAATTTATAACCCATAAGTAACTTACATATTCCTCCTTTGTAGATGCCCCTTCCCTAGTCTGCCAGATAAACACACCTTGCTGATTTTGGATACGTGTAGGTATTCTAGGCAAGAACATTTGCATTTCAAGGACAAAGAAGGCAGAAGTAGCTTAAGTTTTTAAAAGAAATACCTCCCTATATTTCTTATTACAACCCAAATTTCATTGTTAATATCTTCCTGCCCTCAGAATTTCCTTCATTAACTGATTTGATCCAGATATTAGCAGAAGAATAAGATCATCGTCAGAGAGTGTTCAACAGTTAGAAGATCTGAAGAACAAATTATTCTAACTTCCTTCTGGAGAAGCCCATGTGATATGGACAAACTTTAGTACATGTCGTGGGACCTGTGCCAGTGATACTAGGAGAAAATTTGTTGTGGATGGCAGTCAAACCTGTATTGCTGTTTTTTTTCCTGAGGATAAACATATGTAATCATTTTGGGGTATCCTAGTTAGGGTGAAGAACACTAGCTGCTATGACAACCTGCAAAATCTCAATGACTTAACAAAGACTTCTTTCTCCTTACATCGCAGAACAGTGCAGATCTCTGGGCAGGCTCCTTCCATGTAGTAGTTTTTAAAATCACCTTGGGCTGGCTGGGAGTGGTGGCTCACTCCTATAATCCCAGTACTTTGGGAGGGAGAGGCAGGTGGATCACCTGAGGTTGGGAGTTCGAGACCAGCCTGACCAACATGGAGAAACCCTGTCTCTATAAAACAATTAATAAATAAAATAAAATCACCTTGGGCCTCAGAATTCTCCATTGGATCTTATCTGGCCTGCAATCAAAAGTAACAATACAAAGTGTGGAGAAATACACAGCAAGTTGTGGAACCAAGCCTGGACATGACATAGTACTTAGGCCCTAATTTTATTCACCAGAATTCAGTCACATGGCCTCCCTAACTATAAAGGAGGCTGGGAAATAGAGTTTTTCCAAATGTTCAGGAAGAAAATGAAATGGAAATCAGTGATTACATTGCATTATTTCTGCCACGGTGTGTAATTTAGTAACTTGAATTTAAGAGATTTATTGAAGAAGGCTAATAAAAAAGATAATGGAAAAATAAATTATATCCAGATATAACAGAAAAGAGAAGTATTAAGTAGACATGTTGCTAAGGATTGCACTTAGAGACCATTCAAGTCAGCTTGTTCCTGCAGGACTGATCTTTGTCCCCCAGCCTAGAGTTTGCTTGACATGAACATTGTTAGGGTGAGACTCTACTCTCATTCATTAGTACCAAAACCAAAGAGGCCACTAATTTACCACTGATGCTACTTTTTTTTTTTTTTTTTTGCTGGGCTAATAATTTAATTGTCTACTTTTATTCAGGGTTTGAGTAAAAAAGTTGGTGTATCATCCTCCATCCTCCAAGGTCTCTGGATCTCCTATAGCACAGAAGGTCTTTCTATGGCACTGGCATCTTTACGAAATCTCTATACTCCAAATATAAAGGTACATGTGTAAAGAAATTATAAATATGATAAAGAATTAACTGAAAAAATTAAACTAGAAGGACAGTTAGTAGCTATGTAGTTGATTTTGGACTTGCCTTAGACTCTCTCTTATTAAGAGCCTTTTATTGATAATATATTTTAAATTGTTCAATTTTATTCTATAAATTAGAGACTAGCTCCATTGTCCTCTTACCTTCTCTAAGCTGACTCTGACATATGGGATCAGCTCCTGCTGGTTCCAGAGAATAAACTTATAGGTAGCCTTGGTCTTGGTAGGAGCTTTTCTGACCAAGAGCTCACTTCATAGAGACTATGTTCAGCACTGCAGTATGGGAGGCAATTGCCCTAGCTACTATACTGTGTATGTAAAGGAGATATTTTACATTGTCTACCAAAGGAAAAGAAAAAGGAACTAATGAGATTATAAAATAAAGCAATTACTAAATGCTACTAGACACTGTTGTAGAATCTTAGATGGTTTAATAAAAGATGACTAAGGATGTGACTCCTGTTTGTCTAATTATTAGTTCTGTTTATTTATTTCTAGGTTAGCCGACTGCTGATTTTGGGAGGTGCCAATATTAATTACCGGACAGAGGTTTTAAATAATGCTCCAATTCTATGTGTTCAGTCCCATCTTGGTTACACAGAAATGGTAGCCCTGCTACTGGAGTTCGGGGCCAACGTGGATGCCTCTTCTGAAAGTGGCCTGACTCCGCTGGGATATGCTGCAGCAGCAGGGTACCTGAGCATTGTGGTGCTGCTGTGCAAGAAACGGGCCAAGGTACTCTGCTTTCCTTCCCTTTTTCTTTCCTTTCGGCACATTATCTTTCCTTTCTCCATGTTACCCGATGAGTCTGGGGAGAGTATATCCAGCCTTGACAGAGAGCAGATAGATAGAGTGCTGGCTCTGCATATGTGCAGGGCCACTGCCATCCATCCTGCAGGAGCACACAGCTCTAAAACCTTTAAGAGGTACTTGGGAAACTGCATTTATCAGTAACCACAAGAAGTTCCTACCTAACAACCCAGAAATGTTCTTCTGAGCTCAGAAGAAGCCTCTTTTTAACAGAGAAGAAGGCAAGTGAGGCAGTAAAGAGACTGCAATGGCAGATCTGGACTGAATGACACCTGCAGACTGTGTAGAGAAGAAAACTTAGCCATGGAGATGAGAACAGGACCAGACACCCTCATCCTGTCCTTGAAGACTACCACTCTAGAGATATGGGGAGGAGATGATTCTCCCTGTGATACTCAGACTGACCAAGGGCACCTCAAAGTGCTTCTGTTAGTGCTGTTCAGTTGTCCGAAAACATTTCCAAAATATATTTGCTTTATGTATAAAAAGAACTCAATTTCACAATATTAGTGAAAAGGAAAACGCTGGTCTCACAAATGTAGGCCTCTGGGAAAAAAGTTTTGGCCTCATAGTATTTGTTTCAGTCCTGAAAACAAACTAAGGATGTTAGTGGTTTCACAGTGAAATATAAGTCATACATATGACTTCATTCTGAGGTGTCCAGTGCTGTTACCAGGGAAGAAAGTGGGAATCCTCCTAATCCATTGGGAACTGAGACGTAGTCCTCTCAGTGACATCCTGGAGCCTTAGAAGTTTACCATAGCACAGTGATTATCCACCTGTAACATCCCATTCATTTGAATGGACCCCTCTAGAAACAATAATAACCAGGCCTCATTACTATTTTCGTTTTAGAGACAAAGTCTTGCTCTGTTGCCTAGGCCAGAGTGCAGTGGCATGATCATAGCTCACTGCAGTCTTCAGCCTCCCTAGTAGCCAGGAGTATAGGTACACGCCATCACACTCAGCTGTATTTTTTCCTATTTTGTAGAGACAGGATCTTGCTCTATTGCGCCGAGGTTTGCTAAAACTCCTTGGCTCAAGAGATCCTCCCACTGTGGCCTCCCAAAGTGCTAGGATTACAAGCATGAACCACAGTATCTGGCCCTTCTTACTATTGCTGTCACTTCATATTCGGATCTCAGCTGGGTCTTCCCTGCTGCTCAGCCCTTAAACTGCCAAGCCATCCTTTTCTTCACCTTTCATTGTTTTCCCCAGAGCAGATATGTACATCATATGCATTTCTTTCAGGGTCCTATCATGTCTCTTGTGCCTTCATCATTGTGACCAAGCTCATCCTGAGGTGCCTGTATCTCAAAACTATCAGTTCTTACCTCCACTCACCTCTGCTTTGCCTTAGAGAAGGAAGTACTTACCTTCCTTTCCAAAGCAATTGTCTCCACCTCTACACTCTTAACCCACTGTGTTGCTCATTCTCTCACGTTATTTCATTCTTTTTCTAAATTCACACTACTTTTTTCTCAGTTTCTACAAACTTACGAATGTAGAAACCTACCTAACCTAAAAAAGAAATTTTCTTCTCCCTTGCTAACCAGAAGCAGCATCCCATCTCTTCCCTTTCACATCTGCCAAACCTGTCCTAAGAGTCCTCTATAATGGCTACATTCACCTCCTTATTACTCCTTAACCACTTGCATTCTGGCTTCTGTGAATGAAAAAGAAGGCAGGTCATTAAAATGGTAAGCTTTAGGATCTAACACAACCAGGTCAAATCCCGTGTCCATACTTAATTCATATGAGGGCTTGAACAAGTCACTTAACCTCTCTCAATCTCACTTTTCATCTATGAAAAGGGTATTAGACGAGTCAGTGTAAGGATTAAAAGAGATAAAGCCTTTTTAAAGGAGGTAAAGTCTCTTTTAATCTTATACAGTGCCTAATAAATAGTATCCGTAAAAAAGAAAATAGCCCAATCTCCCTATATTCTACCAAGCTACTCTTTTGAAAGTCACTAATGACTGCCAGTCAGCAAATAAAGCAGCTTTGTCTCATTCCTCACCTCTCTGAGCCCCTTCATAGTATTGGCAATAGTGAAAAACAATTTTCTTTTTTTTGAGACAGAGCCTGGCTCTGTCACCCAGACTGGAGTGCAGTGGCACATTCTCAGCTCACTGCAGCCTCCACACCCCAGGTTCAAGCAATTCTCCTGCCTCAGCCTCCCAAGTAGGTGGGATTACAGGCACCCACCACCACACCCAGCTAATTTTTGTATTTTTAGTAGAGATAGAGGCTTCACCATGTTGGTCAGGCTGGTCTTGAACTCCAGACCTCAGGTGATCTGCCCGTCTCAGCCTCCCAAAGTGCTGGAATTACAGGTGTGAGCCACCACACCTGGCCAATAGTAAACTGTTAATGTCATTCCCCACTTCTCTGGCTGCTCCTCTCTTCTTCTTTTTTTTTTTTTTTTGAGACGGAGTTTTGCTTTTGTTACCCAGGCTGGAGTGCAATGGCGTGATCTCAGCTCACCGCAACCTCTGCCTCCTGGGTTCAGCAATTCTTCTGCCTCAGCCTCCCGAGTAGCTGGGACTACAGGCACGTGCCACCATGCCCAGCTAATTTTTGTATTTTTAGTAGAGACGGGGTTTCACCATGTTGACCAGGGTGGTCTCGATCTCTTGACCTCGTGATCCACCCACCTCAGCCTCCCAGAGTGCTAAGATTATAGGCGTGAGCCACCGCGCCCGGCCCCATTTTTCGTATTTTTAGTAGAGACAGGGTTTCACCATGTTGGCCAGGATGGTCTCAATCTCTTGACTTCATGACCCGCCTCGGCCTTCCAAAGTGCTGGGATTACAGGCGTGAGCCACCACGCCCAGCTTCTCTTCTTCTAATATAACTGTTCACTAAGATTTTGTTCCTGGTCTTTCTTCCATCCTCATGCTCTGCCGTGGCTTCAACATTAAAGTCATAGGCTTTGGTATCAAACCCGACTTGGTTCTAGTTCTCCTGACTACATTTTGGTGACTCTTTACCCCCAAATTGCTAATTCCTGAAAATGTTTTTGAGCTCTAGTTTCACATTTGTAACTGCTTCCTTGGCAGACATGCCCAGATCCCTGACTAGTTCTTCAGATCCAGCTTTCTAAAATCACTCATCATCTTTATTCTCCTCTTTCTGGCTTTTCAAAATCTGCTGATGTAGCCTCCTTTTTTCTCAGAACTAGGAAATCATTGACATTTTTCTCTCATTTACCCTTCCAAATTCATTTAGTAGCCAACCCTTTTCAATGTTATCCTGAAAATAGCTTGAGAAGCTATTCATTTGTCTCTACCCCAACTGCCACCATCCTCCTGAATTATTCTTGGAGTCTTCCTGTGTAATAAACCCCTTTTTCACATTCTCATCTCATCTGTTACACACTGTGACCTTAGCTTTTGTAAACCTTTTATTTTGAAATAATTTTAGACTTCCAAAGATACTGCAAAAATAGTGCAGAGACCCAACACAAAGAAATTATACATGTTTGAGGTGATGAGCATGCTAATTACCCTAATTTGATCATTACACATTGCATACACATATCAAAATATCATACTGTACCCCATAAATATGTACAATTATTACATGTTAACTAAATAAGAGCAAATAAAATAGTTCTCTTAGAGGCAAAAAAGAAAACAAAAATGCATAGAGTTTTCTGTGTATCTTTCACTCAGTTTCTCCTAATGTTAACAGCCTAAGTAATCGTAGTCTAATTATCAAAACCAGGAAATTAATTTGGTGATAATACTATTAACTAATCTACAGACCTTACTGAAATTTGTCCAACTGTCCCACTGATATCCTTTTTGGATTACAGAATCCAAGCTGGGATCCCACATTACATTCAGTGTTGTGTCTCCTTAGACTCCTCCAATCTTTGAGGGTTTCTCAGTCTTTCTTCATCTTTTTATGAGCTTGACAGTTTTAAAGAATACCAACCAGTTTTTCTGTAGAACGTCTTTCAATTTTAGTTTGTTTATGATTTTCTCATGATGAGATTGAGTATATATATTTTTGGCAAGAATACCACATAAGCAATGCTGTACCCTTATGAAAATGCAGCACTTGAGGTACCTACTATTGATATGTCTTATTACAGGTGGTATCAACCTCAGTCACTTGTCTAAGGTAGTGTCTTCAGGTTTCTCAACTCTGAAGTTACTGTTTTTCCTTTTGTAATTAAGAAATATCTTTTAGGGGTATGCTTTGAGACTAGGAAGATAGACATCCTAGTATTCATCATACTTCTGTCCACTAATATTAGGATCCATCAGTGATTCTTGCTGCAATAATTATCTTTTATTTTATTGAGAGGAGTTTCACTCTTGTTGCCCAGGCTGGTGTGCAGTGTCACGATCTCAGCTCACTGCAACCTCCGCCTCCCAGGTTTAAGCAGTTCTTCTGCCTCACCCTCCAGAGTAGTTGGAATTACAGGCGCCCACCACCACATCCAGCTGATTTTTGTATTTTTTGTAGAAATGGGGTTTCACCATGTTAGCCAGGCTGGTCTCAAACTCCTGACCTCAGGCGATCTGGATACATATCTCAGCCTCCCAAAGTCCTGGGATTACAGGCATGAGCCACCGCGCCCAGCCACTGCAATAAATTATTGCTTTGATCCTTGCCTAACAGTGATTTTCTACTTCCATCATTCCCTCAACATTTACTAACTGACATTTTACTGTAAGGACAAGTGATACCTTCTCCCCCATGTATTTATTCAAGTATTTATTTATATTACAGTGAAGTCGTGGATATTTATTCTATAGCCTGAAATCCATTACCATTATTATTCATTTCATTGTTCACGTTGCCCCAGATGTTTTGACCATCAGGAACTCCTTCAAATTGATTCCCGTGTCCTTTCAACTTCCCTCTATTATTTCTTGAGCACTTTCTGACTTTCTGACACCACAAGATGTTCTAATCTCATCTGTTATCCCAGTCCTGGAATCAACCATTTCTCCAAGGAGACATGGTTTCTTTTATCCATTCCCTTAGTTTTTGAAAATACAGTTCAGAACATGAAAACACTCAATGACTCCACTACCCACTGGTTAAAATTCAGATCACTTAGCCTGGAATTCAAAAATATCCACGCTCTGTCCCAAAAGACCTTGTCAACCTTAGAGTTTAAACTTCCCTTTCATGTGTCCTACCCTTACAAAAACTAGAATACACGAATCATTTTCCATGTCAGCCAGTCAAGAAATACCTTTCTATCTGAATCTGTTTCTGATGCTAGCCAGGAATTAATTTTTCCTTCTCTGAAATGTTATTTCACTTTGACTTTCTTTAAATTTATTGTATACTCCTTTGTTGGGCAGGCTCTTGTCACATTGGTCACAGCTCCCCTACCTTGTTGGAGTCCTTGAGAGCAGAACCTGTATATTACTGTCTTATTCACCTAAATGGTACTTTGCACATATTCTGTATTCAGTAAATATTCACTACGTGTATGGCTGGGTGGAACTGAAGTCAGCGGGAAAGCCAGAAACAGAACTTATATTTTTAACTGATCTAACTACCACAGGACAAGTACCACCTGCCTACCAGAAAAGGCTACTCATCTCCTGAAAGGCTACTCATCTACTGAAATGAAGGCCCTTCTGGTAAATCTATCTTGATCAGGGTCTTCTTTCAGCCTAAACTTGTAACCAACACTGAAATTATAAAGACTACTATTGATGCTTAGTCTAGCAATAAGCCAAAAGTGCCTCTAGACATTTGGGGCAGATCTTTAAGATTCTTCCTTCCTGCTGGAAGAGAGAAGCAGACTTTGCCAAAGCTTGGTGGTCTGACAATTCATAATATGAGATGTTTTGCTTCTTTGGAAGAACAAAAAATTGTAGCTTCATAATGTTTTTCTTCCCTTAGTTGATTTCAGAGATAATTTTTTTATGCCAGCAGACCTACAAGTTTCTCAAATCTTGGTCTAAAAAGAACTATTTGAGGAGACAAAGAAGGATTTACCTCAGGAAGACAAAGTTCAAGCTGAAAGTTCTGGTTTTTGTTTTTCTCTAAATGCAAAAACGAAAGTCTGATCTTTTTGCGGAAAAGAAGTTCTTTCCAGATGGACATTTAGCATAGTTGTAGCTCAATAATGATCTAGGCTGAGCAGAGTCTCCTAAATTTGCTCAGAGAGTGGTTCCAATAGTGGAAATGATTCTTAGTAGTCTACACTTGTGCAATGGGTAGATGTGTCTAGATTGCGAGTTCAGCCACAAGTCTGTGTTCACACAGATTTCCTGTCCTCTCCTCGTAGGTGGATCATTTGGATAAGAATGGGCAATGTGCTTTGGTTCATGCTGCACTCCGAGGTCATCTGGAGGTTGTCAAGTTTTTGATTCAGTGTGACTGGACAATGGCCGGCCAGCAGCAAGGAGTGTTTAAGAAGAGCCATGCCATCCAACAGGCCCTCATTGCTGCAGCCAGCATGGGTTACACTGAGGTAAGAAGTAGGCAATAGGATTGTTTCTCCAAGCTATGTATTGAAGGACCTAGGAAACCAGGAGAAAAGACTGCATGAAGACAAAATCGCCAGCCAAATTAATGTAAATTCATGATCGATGCTCTGAATAATGAGATTAAACTCCATGAACACTTGACTCAAATTCCAAAGTCCCTCAAATTATAGGCATAGAAATGTACAAGTTGGAAAGGACCATGGAAATGATCTAATTCTTCTCCATGTTTTCCTCCCTTTTTAACAGACAGTGGCACCAAGGCTCAAGATGATGAATTACTGAGGTGTAGTCACATGGTTAGATAATGTGGCATAGGAAGAGCCTAACACTTAGAATCTCAGGAGGACCAGATTTGAATCCCAGCCTCGCTACTCATTAACTGTAGACCTTAAACAATTTACCTAATCTCTTAGAAGCTTAGTTTCCCATCAGTAAAACGAAGTTAATAAACTCCTTTACACAAGGCTGTTATAAGGGATGCTTGGTAAACTGTTAAAAATTATATAGTTTATTAATGATAGTAACAATAATAGTAGCAAATGTATGGAATTGGTAGCGTGCTAGGAAATGTGTAAAAACCAACCCACAAGAAGGGTGTGGGGTGAAGCAGGGGTGTGTGTTTGTGTGTGTGTACATATGTTTATTATAAATTTTACTGATAGAAAGAATGTGTTTCCAAGGAATACTGCACAGCCATAAAAAGAACAAAATCATGTCCTTTGCAGCAACATGGAGGCAGCTAGAGGCCACTATCCTAAGTGAATTAGTATAGGAACAGGAAACTAAATACCACATGTTGTCATTTATAAGTGAGAGCTAAACAATGAGTACTCATGGACATAAAGAAGCAACAATAGACACTGGGGACTACCTGGAGGGGAGAAGAAGGGGAAAGGGGTGAAAAACTGTTGAGTATCATGCTCACTACCTGGTTGATAGAATCATTCATGTCCCAAATCTCAGCATCATGCAGTACACCCATGTAAGAAACCTCTACATTCACTGCCTTCGAATCTACAATAAAAGTTGAAATTATTTTTTAAAAAAAGAGGCCGAGTGCAGTGGCTTATGCCTATAATCCCAGCACTTTGAGAGGCCACGGCAGGCAGATCACCTGAAGTCAGGAGTTCAAGGCCAGCCTGGCCAACAAGGTGAAACCCTGTCTCTATTAAAAATACAAAAATTAGCCGGACATGGTGGTAGACACCTGTAATCCCAGCTACTCAGCAGGCTGAGGCAGGAGAATTGCCTGAACCTGGGAGGCGGAGGTTGCAGTGAGCCAAGATTGCACCAGTGCACTCCAGCCTGAGTGACAAGAGCAAAACTCTGTTTCAAAAAACAAACAAAAAAAGAGTATGTTGCATACAGCTTACAAATAATAATGAAATATACAGTACTCTTAATTGAATGCTTTTGTTGATTTTTGCCAAATTTGTAGCTAACCTACGGTTGCAACTTATAACCACAATTTGACAAATGGAGCTGCATCCCACTTTGCTCTTTTCTCAATAACTGTATTACCATTAAATCTGATACATGATCTGTTAAACTACTTCTCAACCTCATACAAACTATATTTATTAAACTGAAGCCACTTTCAGCTTTAGTACTAAATGAAGCCCTGATTTATAATGTTTGCCAGTTTCAAGGGTGTAAATACTTCCATCATAGCCAATTTCAATCTACCAGTGTGACTTCACTGAAACAAAGGCAGGAGGAGATGCACAGTAGCACATCGTTATATAATATTCCCACCATGCAGACATGCACAATCAATATAAATAACCCCAACAGCATAGATAATAGTAAGATATAGTCAAGTAATAGGAAGTTGGGAAATTTGAGTATTCTTTAACCTTTGTTTTTATGTTAATTTATTCAACTGCTATTTGCTTTCTAATAAACAACTGGCTTTCAGCATTTCTGAGAATTTAACAGTCAGCTTTCATGGGCCAGTGCCAGCATGGGATAATCAGTAAAAAAGCTGCCATATCAACTGAACTGACCTATCACCAAGGGAGTGTTAAGTAATATTAAAATTTGTATCATCTATGGGACGTTTTTTAATCCTGTGCAGTCAAATTCCCGGAAACAGAACCGTCACTTTTTGTTGTGTTTAGAGATCATTCTCCCTTTACTAGTTCCAGAACAGTCCTTATATATCTGAGAGGAAAAAGGAAGTTAAACCCTTTACTCTGAGGAAATACAGAGTCAGGGGCAGTGGCTCACACCTGTAATCCCAGCATGTTGGGAGACTGAGGTAGGAGAATCGCTTGAGGCCAGGAATTCAAGACCAGCCTGGGCAGCATAGCAAGACCCTATCTCTATCCAAAAAAATTTTTTTTGTAATTAGCCAGGTGTGATGGTGCATCCCTATAGTCCCAGCTAATCTGGAGGCTGAATAGCAAAGATTGCTTGAGGCTGGGAGATCAAGACTGCAGTGAGCCATGATCACACTACTGCACTCCAGCCTAGGTGACCAAATGAGACTCTTGTCTCAAAAAAAAAAAAGAAAGAAAAACGGGCCCTCAGTTTCCTCTTACATGCTATGGCCTTTTTATAGGGAGGATGAAGATTGCTTCTTTAACTTAAATATTAAGAATATGTAATTTTTTAAAAAAATCTCATGCTAGATAAGTGAATTCTATTCTAGAGACATGAAAACTGTACCTGAAAGGACAGATACTCATCATGGAAGCTCTGGGTTTCTTTAGTAGGTCAGTCAGTTCCGATTCCTTTTGTGTGCAAGAGATTTAGTGATACTTGGATCATCCAAACTTCACAGGCTAGTGTCAGTAGCGTAGTTTTCCACCTGAAATTTGAGCTGACACAACCTCTTGTTTCAGATTGTCTCCTACCTACTTGATCTTCCAGAAAAAGATGAAGAGGAAGTAGAGCGAGCACAGATCAACAGCTTTGACAGTCTCTGGGGAGAGACAGGTATCTCTCATGGACGTTGCTCTCAAGATATGTGTTGTGTTTGTGTGGACTCCCATATCTCCAACCCTTATTTTTTTCCCTAGCATACATTTGGCAATCTTCTGTCTCAGGCTTTTGTATTGGAGACTGATTCAGCCAAACTAAACAGTCAAGCGATTTTCCTCTTTCAACCCTCTTTCCCTGTGGATTCTCTATACTCTTTGCACTGGAGTCTTTCAAAAAAAACTTTTTCTGTCTCATTTCCAAACAGTTTTAAAATATTGAAAGTTACCTTACAATGTGCCAAACCAGAGCAGAAAATAATTGTAGCCTTTCTCCTTTTTATGTCATCCTTGTAGTAGTTAGGAATAAGTATTTCTCCTGTCAAAATAATTTTTTTCCCCTTGTATTTGTTAACCAGGATGTTAAATTTTTACCCACACCTCTGATTTAACCAAATGTTACTATGGCAGAGTGGTATCTGACACAATTAATCTAATACATTACTAATGAGTAAAGTTGCTATCTGGATGCACAGTGAAGGCCCAGCCTCTTGCAGTTGGTCTGTAGCAAAGCAGTTTGGTACTTAGGACGCACGCAGAAGCCTCTTTCTTGTGGCCTTTGCAGGAAGTGATTGTTGTCTTCCCTCCAAGTCTAAACTGCAGCATCTGGAGAAACATTAGTAACCGTCGATGTGTTTTTATGAAACCAGGGCAATAAAAACTGTAGAGTAACCACAAATATGTGTCATATTTTCCAGGAGAAGTAGACCAATATTGAGATGGGCAATTCACTAAACAAGAAGGGTATGCATTTGGGTTAGGATAAGAGTGTTATTAAAAATAAGAGATTCTTGAACCCATTTAAAATTTATAAAGACTTATTGTGGCATTTCTTCTCGTGACAAAATCTTACACCAGTTTCCTGACTTCTTTAACATCACGTGGAATGGTCCAAAACTCAGGAATTTGCTTCTCAAGTAATCCCTCCTTTTATAAGATCCAAAGGGAGCAGATGCCTGGCAGCTGCAGCTTAAGAGTCCATGACAGATTAAAGGAAAGTGTCCAGCTGGAAACAGCTGCTGTCTCTGGAGCCCCACCCTGAGGGAAGCCAGAGGACAGGCTGAGGGGAAAGAACTGGCCGGGACATTAGCCACCCTGGAGTACCCATATGTGTAGGACCTAGAGCCGCAGGAGGGACACGTTGGTGTGCTTTTGTCAGCACAGCCTTCCCCAACGCTGTTGCCACATCTCTAGCAGACCCCTTATTGCCAAGGGCATGGCTGTGTAACCACTGACAGCAGCAAAAAAGAGTCATGTCCCCATGGTGATAATGAATAGAAATTACAAGACTAATAGTGATGAATATCAAACACATTCTAATGCTGTACTTGAAAGAAATGCTTAACAACGTTCAAGAAGGGCATGAATTAAATAAGGACTTATTTTTATTGACATGAATTTCTTATTAGAATAAAATTTTATGACATCAGGATTCTTAAAATATTTCATACCTTAAATTATACAATAAATTTTTATAGTGAATTTTGTACATATATACCATATCTCGATTTTTTTTTTTTTTTGAGACAGTCTCCCTCCATCTCCAGGCGGCAGACTGGAGTGCAATGGCGCAATCTCAGCTCACTGCAACCTCTGCCTCCTGGGTTCAAGCAATTCTCCTGCCTCAGCCTCCTGAGTAGCTGGGACTACAGACACGCACCAGCACGCCCAGCTAATTTTTGTATTTTTAATAGAGACGGGGTTTCACCATGTTGGCCAGGACAGTCTCGATCTCCTGACCTTGTGATCCGCCCGCCTCGGCTTCTCAAAGTGCTGGGATTACAGGCATGAGCCACCACGCCTGGCCCCATATCTCGATTTTTAAAAAATCAAAGTTTTATGTCAATTTGCTTATAATCAGAAATGTGTTGTGTTTGACTTATGTATATATGCAGTATCATTAAAATTACTATAAAAATAAAAAGCTTAAACGTGAGTTAAGATGAAATTTATTTGTAATATCTTTTTTTTTTTTTTAAGGCAGAGTCTCACTCTGTCACCAGGCTAGAGTGCAGTGGCACAATCTCGGTTCACTGCAACCTCCACCTCCTGGGTTCAGGTGATTCTCCTGCCTCAGCCTCCTGGAATTACAGGTGTGCACCACCATGCCCAGCTAATTTTTTTTTTTTTTTTTTTTGTATTTTTAGTAGAGACGGGGTTTCACCATGTTGGCTAGGCTGGTCTAAAACCCCAGACCTTAGGTGATCTGCCCACCTCGGCCTCCGAAAGTGCCAGGATTACAGGCATGAGCCACCACGCCCGGCTGTAATATAATTTCTGTATCTATGAAAAATTATTTCAGAAAAAATTCTGGAAAATAAGGTTGTCTTTATTATGTGACAGTGATCCTACAACTCATCATCACTAGTATAAAATGGACTCTGATTCACTTTCCTATCTACAGTGATGTTTATTAAACATACATGTGCCTTTCTAACTTCAGCACATGATCACTTAAATTTAATAATGACCTGTTGAATTGTGATGCTTCCTCCCATGACAAAATCTTAGACATATTTTTGCATATAAAAGTGGTCTGTGACCCAAAGCTAGTTGGTGGGGGCTCATATCTGCAACCAGGACCTAAGTGACAATTTTTAACCTAAGGAAAATACAATGGTCATGATGTTTCCTAGAATATGTATCACTTACTCTATCAAATCTAAGACACCGTTAACTTTAAGAAACTATACATCCATTATTTTATGTGCCACCACAAAAACTTCTGCCAAGTAAACTGACACAATTCTTTATTATCACATCATTTTTAAGATGCATCCCAATTTCAGAGATGTTAAAATGTAGAGGGAGAAAGTGAATCTTAGAATCAGTGAAATACATCCTAGTATACAATGAAATGTTAATTGGGATGTGATTTTTACATATCAGATTTTCTAAAGGCAGATCACTAAAGCATCCTGGTTGCTTTCATCCTCCTTTTGCAGCCTCTTTATCCTTCTAGATGTCATCTTCTTATATCCAGCTTCCACCATCTGCTGACACACCCCCCCCATCCCATAGTGTTTTCACAGACTTCTTATAGAACAACACAGAAGAAAAGCAAACAAGGTGACAAGATTGTTCACCACACCAACCTCTCCCCTGTGTTGTGGGCACAGACCAGGACCAGCACTGAGAGCTTCTAGCAAGTCTGGAGGCCAACCCTGGAAATACATGGCCCTAAAAAGAAACCAGAGTTTACAAAACAAACTTATTAGATTCCTTTAATTCCTGCCCTCATCATCTTTTGCCTAGATTATTGCAACTACCCTCTAATTGAGCTTCTGCCTCTAGCCTCACCCTTTGGTGATACATCTCTCAGACTTCAGCCAGTGATCTTTTTAAACCATAGTCTGTTTGTGTCATTGACCTTCATTTACTACTTGAAGGATTAAGTCCTTTAATGTAGCATAAAAAGACCAGTAATGATCCAGCCTCATATACTGACTGTCTTCTCCAGTAATTCCAATAACTAAACATGTTGTTTTCCCCCTCAGTGCATTTATTCATGCTCTCCCTTTGCCTGTCATGTCCATCCCCCACCTTCCATGCCTATAAATCTCCTGTTCATCTTTCAGCATCTAGTTTACATTGTCATCTCTACTGGAGGCCATCTTAGACACTTCTCCCTCTGTGCCTTCCCTCATACCAAGGATATATCTCCATTGTGCTTGTCATACTGTATATTAAGGTACTTATTTGTCTGTTTCCTTACTCAACCAGAGACAGTGCCTGACAAATAGCTCAATAAATGTTTAATTAGTGTTATTTTGCATATCAGTGATCAGTGTATTTCTCCCCAGCCACTTCCCCTCCTCCCCCTACCCGTGGATCTTACATGACCTGTCTGTGCTGGGGTCTTCCAAGGTTCAAAGTAGATGAAAGAGTCATTTGGGTTTCTGCATTCTCTTTAGTGTCAGCATCCCATCCAAACAGGCTCTGGCTGTTTCCCCAACACTGAGCTACATCCTGTCTGCCTCTTCCAACTCTTTAGATGTTTCCCTTTCAAAAAAGACCATTTCTGTCAGATTATCTCATCAGATGCTGACAAGCTAGGGAACAAATTCTGTTACTGCTCTTTTAGGAAGAAAGTTGGCTCCTAACTGCTCTGCAGTTTGATGTTTTATAGAATTGGCTTTACCTTAATCTCCTTTCTTTTAGAAAGTTTTAACAGTTTTCGATAAATCTCATATGAAATCCAGCTATACAACTCTTTGCTCTTGGATTTTGAAAAGCCCAGATTCTGTTCTACACAGTTGTGTTGTTCTAAGATGAAACTGGCCAGCTGTGCTAATAACCATGTCCAGCTATCAACTGAAGGTTGCTGCCAAATGACATCATAACCTAAACAACGGAGATAACACAACAAAGAAAAAGGCCAAGTGGAACATTCCCTCTCATATAAATGTTATCCAGTAGGGAGAAATGAGACAGCCAGAGCAGTGGAATTGTTGGAGTGGACAGTGTGGCTTTCCAGATTGGCAGTGGTTGTGAATATTCAGATGCGTTTTGTGAACTAGCATCATTAGTGAGAAGCTTGATTCTGAAATACTGTCTATATTTTCTCTAAGCTGCTATAAGTTCTTTCGTGAAAAATAATGTATTTAGCCACCTAACATAGAGATGTTTGCTGCAACCTTAGCCGCCTAGTAGCTGCTTTAAATGAGGTCAGAACGTGGGTTAGAAATTTTCCAAATGGTTTGTTTTATACACCAAGATAATTCTTATGGTTCCTAATAAGTGTCTATCCAGTCAAATTATTTAAACTACTCTTATGTTCTGACCCACATACAAAACTAACAATTTGTTTTCTTACCTATTAGAAATATGAACTTGAGAAACAGGGGACATCACTTACATTTAAAAAACAAGAGATAAAACATATTTGTCCAGTAAATAATTGTAGCCATTAACACCTGACCTCATCCACTCAGGGCTTGGAAAGGACCTCACCTCAGATGGGACCAAGCCACTGCCCTCCTGTAAGGAACTGGACAGAAATGCCAATGTCAAGAGTTCCAAAATAAAATTGAAAATACACAGAAGACAAGCCATATATAGAACTGGTTTAAGAGTGCAGATATCTTCTAAAATTATCACATTTTACTGCGTAAGCTCTTCTTATCCTTGTGGAAGAAAGGAAAATATTACTTGAAGGTTTACCTTTGTAGAAATTACAGGTAGTTTTGATTTTGCATATGACTCAGTAATGAATAAATTTGGCCATATCCAAAGATAAAATGCCATAATCTGCACTTAAGTGGAAAAGAATGCAAATGTCCATTTGATGTAAATTTTATTTGCTTCTCTGAATAGATTTTAATGTTTGCAAACTGCAGTATCCGTGCCTGCTAACTATTATCATTTTCTGATTTATTATTGGAGTATGAGGCTATAATAAAAGAAGGACCTGCTGACCACTACACCAATTTTTTAATTTGGAAAAAAAAATCTTTATACTCTTTCTTTAAAATGAAGTATAACTCTTCCATGTTCTAACAGTGTTTTCCATCCTCCTTACCCTCATTATTTTTTTAAAAACTATAGACCTATACACCTGAGATCCCACAGTTAAATGAAACAAATATTTGTTAAAAGACAGACTTCATTTCTCCGAATTCCTCTTTCTGCTGTTGAAATGATAATCCGAGAACACAAGAGGCGTTTGTAAAATCTCCTTTGTATCAGAGATCATATTGTCAGTGGACAGTGGCACAAGAATAAGAATGTATCTGTGTTTTTCCTGATGTGTCTCTTAAACTCACTGTAGCTATTTTTACCTGTGACTTCATTATTTTACATTCAGAAGAAAATAGTCTTTGTCATACCTCTTTTCCCATCTTTAAGACTGCTACCTTGAGTAATTCTAAACCTTATATTTAAAAAAAATGTTGCAAATGTGCCAGAAACTTCTGTATCAACTCATGAAGAAAAAGAATGAAAACTGGCCCCAAGACCTTGGGCTGCAATTCCTAACACTGATTCAGAGCCCAAGCGTAGAGCTTGGCTGGAGGTAGTTCCCAGCTAATTCTTTAAAAATATATATATATATATTTATCTCTGCAAAGACTCTTGTCTTTAGATTCCACTCACACAGAAAGTTTGTAGCTAGGAAGAGGTACTAAACAAAAGGTACACCAAAGCAGAGCAGACAGTCTGGTTAGGGAAAATGAAACCAAGTGAGTTTGATTAAAGGTGATTTTTCAATAGATTTATTATAATTGTCTCCAAATTTTGTGAGGCAATTTAAATGTACCTTTATTCATTATTTTTCTTTAGAACTTTTGTTTATGGAAAAGGTGGCAAAAATAGTTATTCTTAGAAGTAAAGTAGCAGTACATTAATGAAACACAGGGATATGTCACATTTAACATTGAGCACTAGAGATGACGAGAAGCACCTCTCCTCAGTCTTTGTTCTCTGCCCTTAGCCCTAACAGCTGCAGCCGGAAGGGGCAAACTGGAGGTGTGCCGTCTGCTCTTGGAACAAGGGGCGGCAGTGGCCCAGCCAAACCGCCGAGGGGCAGTGCCGCTATTCAGCACAGTGCGCCAGGGCCACTGGCAGGTAAGCAGGGTGGCCAGTTCCAGTCCCTCAGGCAGGACTTCTGATGCAGAGAGCAGAATGATCACAAGTAAAAGTTTGGGTTACTCAGCAGTGATCAGGTGTGAGACTTGGACCTTTGTTATGAATATTCTGGTTAATTGAGCATGCATGCGACAGTTAACATTCAAAACCATCACTTGATATAGATTGTATAGAAGGATTGCTACTGTTGTCCAGGTAATAGAGTGATCTCCTTCTCAAATTTCACAGCATCCAAAGACTCCTTGGAAGGTTCATTTCTCAGCAGACTTCTGCTAGTCACTTACTTGCAAGTATCTGAGACTTACTAAGAAAAAATGCAGTGAATGCAAATTCTAGTGATATAGTCCTTTTAGATGTTTGGATTCTGGATAAATGTTAATTTATACACTTGGGATGGAAAAAAAAGCACACTGATAATAATCTTCAGAAGTATTTGAATAGAAAAAAGGCCGTAGAAACCAAACAGCCCTAAAGAGTTACCAGAGACACTTTATTATGTTCTGTTCAGTCGGAAGTATTAACTGCAGGCAGATTTGTAACCACTAGAGGGCAATAAAGGAGTGATTTATGTTGGGATTTCCACTATGGAATTGTTTTATCTACATCTTGACCTTTGTTAAGTTCTTTTTTACTTAGTGGCTGAGTCAAGACATTCAGAGTTGAATCCTTCTCATTTGGCTGTCCGTAAGAGAGTTAGATATTAAATCACATGGTACTAGGACTCTACAGGTACTTATACAGGGTTCTCGCAGTGGAAAGATACATATAGAGGTGACTTATACAGCAGTAGGAATTCGTACAGAGTAAGAGATAGTGTGCACATGTCTTCTCAGCGCTCTTCTTTGAGCTAACTGGTTCCTCTTTCTCTGCACTTGCAGATTGTTGATCTTTTACTTACCCATGGAGCTGATGTCAACATGGCAGACAAGCAGGGCCGCACTCCCCTGATGATGGCTGCCTCCGAAGGCCATCTAGGAACTGTGGACTTCCTACTTGCACAAGGTTAGTCTTGGGATGCTAAAGCTGGCTGGCTAGTGCCCGTAATTACCTGGTGAACTCATGATTTCCAGCAATGGTTCCCAGGAGATACTAAGAACAGATATTAATCCAGTTGGTTGGAAAATGAAAGGCCATCTCCTTCCGTCTTGTATTCAGTGGAATGCTTCTGACTCAGACACTATTTCTTTATGACTTGAGGAATTTAAATGAAATTAACATATTGTTTTGTTGTTGTTTTTTTTGAGACGGAGTTTCGCTCTTGTTACCCAGGCTGGAGTGCAATGGTGCAATCTCAGCTCACCGCAACCTCCGCCTTCTGGGTTCAGGCAATTCTCCTGCCTCAGCCTCCTGAGTAGCTGGGACTACAGGCACGCACCACCTTGCCCAGCTAATTTTTTGTATTTTTAGTAGAGACGGCGATCCTGGTCTTGATCTCTTGACCTTGTGATCCACCCGCCTCTGGCCTCCCAAAGTGCTGGGATTATAGGCATGAGCCACCACGCCCAGCCTGAAATTAACATACTGTAAATTCTCATTCAGATCAGTAGTCTCCAAACTTTGATTTTTAAAAAATATATACTCACTATATGTTCATCTTCCAGGGATTGTGTTTTGACTTTAACTTTATCAATTCTTTTGTAAGCCTGCACAACTAATATTTTTCTTGAATTCAAAGGAGGCAAATTGTAGTGAAGACCCCAGCTGACTGTGGGATCCTATTTGGGGAATCAAGATTATTACCCTGTTATAATAAATTCCCTTTGACACTTCCCAACATCCACAAATTCCTGGTGAATGGGAAATAAGTTAAAGGAGACAGTGGTCACACCACCATCGTAAAGCACATCAGGTTCCCGTTGCTTGCTGTGACCTGCGCCTAACGGTGGCTGCTGATGGTGGACCTCTGTAGTAGAAAAAGCTCATCACTGGTGACTCTGCAGTGCCATCTAGTGGAGCTTGAGCGTTTGCATGAAGCAAGAGGCAGAGGCAGTCATTCCAGTTAGCCTCCACTATTAGTAAACTGGACCCAAACATCTGTAATTATATCCACAAGCACAGGTACTTTCCTTCAAGGAAACCAACCTCCTGAACAATGATGTCTAGGCTGGAGCACCTGAGGGTAGTTTAATTAGGAAGAAATTAGGTTTCTTCTAAGATTTCAAACTACAGCTCAGTCAGAGACTTATTGGATCTTTAGCTGTATCCCTCAAGTAAGATTTGTTTCCTCAGACTCAGACTCAAGGCTGGGTCAGAATCAGAGTTGCTATTACAGGTTGTGAAGTGGCTCTTGGTTCCCCCATATAAGCTACCAAAGAAATTTGCCTTCATAAATATCTATCTTCATTTCTACTGGGGAAAGCAGGAAAGAGGAAGGATTACCTAGATTCTCAAGATAAGTTGTGTCAGGAGTAAATACTCCAGAACAAACCCAGTCCACTGAAAGAGGCAGGACCTCTTGTGCCACTGATAACCTTTAGATAGCTGCAAAGTACCTGTCATGTGCCAGTAGAGGCTCCGTAGCCACAGATTCCAGGTATTTCTTTCATTCACCAATGGAGAGATTTTCTTCTTTGAACTGTTTCATTTTTTTCTGCACTTAAATGAGAGGCTTTCACTTAATAATGAATTCAACAAAGATTTATTTAGGCTATGTCATTAGCGTAAATAGTTCCTATACTAGGAACTATGAGTAGCTCTGATTTTTTTTAATTAATGCACTATAATCTGTGCCCTCAAAGGTCTATAATGTGGCAAGGAAGAGATAAAGCAAAGATAAATACCTTAAAAAGCAGAGAATCCCGAGTGCTCTGATAAAGGGATACTTTGAGTTAGACCAGGACAGGCTTCGAAATTTGAATAGGAAAAATGTCCTAGATTTAGGGAGAGGACGTAACATAGATGAAAGGCCAAAGAGGAGTAACAGGTTTAGAGAAATATGCGAGCTGTCCAGTAAAGTGTAAGAGGACTACAGAACGTAAAATTGCAAAGGTATATGGAAAGAAATGGAAAAGGACCATGTTAAAAGAATCTGGGGAGGCCTTAAAATTTTTTAAATAAGGAATTGATGCCAGAGTTATGCTTTAAAAACAATCACTCTGGCAGTATGTGAGCAGTAGACTTGATAAAGGAGCCAGGAGATCAGTTAAGAAGCCATTATAATGAAACAGATGAGGCATAAAGAGGTCCTAACCCAAGGACAGTAGCTTTCAGAATAGAACAGAAGGGCTATGTGCAAGAGGTATTTTGGATATGAAGTCTGAGTAGATGTAGGAAGGAAGGATAGAAGAGTTAAAAAGATAACTCCAGAGTTGTAAGATGGATGTTTGGGAGAATTGTGATTTCATTAACTGCATGAGAGAGAAAGGAGGAAGATTGCAAATTGGATTTTGGAAGGATTTAACATATTATGGATTTGTTTCATATGTAACTCCTTTTAATTTCTTTTCTTTGGAAAAATCAGTTTCTTTAATATACAATCAGAACTTTCTTATCCTACTTTTTCCACCATTGGAGACTTTGTCCAGGGAATTTATAGATGTTGCATCTAAAAAAACTCCTTGGATTCTCTTCCATATTTAAATTTATTCCACATAGAGTCAATGCTTTAATTGCAAACTGTACCATTACCTAAATGGCTCTCATCAGGAGAGCCTTCCAGCTTTTCATCCTGCTGTGGGAAACCACAAACTCTACTGACCTCCAGGAATGCAAAGGTGATAGGCTAGATGACTGCTGAGTAAAACCTGAGCCTGCTGTGGCAGGTCCTAAGCTTGAGCTGACATCTGAATCCTGTCCAGCTGAGGGGGCAGCTAAGTGTCCTGGTGCAGTAAGTTGATATCTGATGTAGTTAAATACGACATGCCTACTGTGTGAAAAGAGTTAGGTACTCTTCAAAACTAGCAAATAAATGATAGGCTCCTTGTCATCGAAGACCTTACAGTCTGGGCCTTAACCAAATGTATATTGGATTTTAGACTGATTACAAAGCAGCATGTCAGGTATGCTTGATTCTTTAAAGTGAAAATAGAAAGGTTGAAGGGAAACATGCACAATATGAAAGAGTGGGCGGAGAATTTGAAAAGGAAGGTGGAATTACTGAATAAGGCTGAGGAGTTTAAACTCTGAATTTCTTGTTTATTGTATTTGGTTTTTTTGTCTTTTTGTAGAGGCAAGTTCTCGCTCCATCACCCAGGCTGGAGTGCAGTGGCCTGATCATAGCTCACCAAGGCCTGGAACTCATGGGCTCAAGCGATCCTCCCATCTCAGCCTACCTAGTAGCTAAGACTACAGGCTCACACCACCACAACTGGCTAATTTTTTAGTGTTTTGTAGAGACAGAGTCTTACCATGTTGTTCAGGCTGATCTCAGATTTCGGGCCTCAAGTAATCCTCCCCACCTTAGCCTCCCAAAGTGCTGGGATTATAGAGAGTCACTCCACACAGTGAAATATTTAATTGACAAGTAAAAATTGTATATGTAGCTATGTGTTGCTTAATCATAGGGATATGTTCAGAGAAATGCATTCTAAGAACTGTGTCCTTAGGTGATTTTGTCATTTGTAAGCATCATAGAATGCACTTAGACAAACCAAGATGGTGTAGCCTACTACACACCTAGGCTACAAACCTGTGTAGCCTGTTACTGCCCTGAGTTACTATAAACACTTGTAACACAGTGTGGTATCTGTGAAGCTAAACATGTCTAAACATAGACAAGAATGATATTTATGGTGAACAATATATTTATGGTGTATACAGGCTGTATATCCCTTATCCGAAATACTTGGTTGCATATTCTGTTCCAGAAGCGTTTCAGATTTGGGATTTTGTTTTTTGCATTTTGACTGTTTGCATTATACTTACTGGTTGAACATTACTAATCCAAAAATGTGAAATCCAAAGTGCTGCAATGTGTATTTCCTTTGAGTGTCATGTTGGCGCTCAAAAAGGTTCAGATGGCGGAGTGTTTCTGATTTTAGATTTTCAGATTAGGGATACTTAAGCTGCATACGTGTATACTGTGGAATGGCTAAGCCAGGCTACTTTATGTGTGCATTACCTCGCACACTTACCCATTTTTCTTCTGGTGAAAATGCTTAAAATGTACTTTCATAGCAATTTTCAAGTATATATTATTAATAACTATCACTCTGACTATAGTTAAGAACTATGGAGTAGATTGAGTGTACTAGTTAGTAACTAATACAGTAGATCTCCTGAACTTATTTCTTCTAAGTGAATTTTGTGTCTTTGACCAACATCTCCCCGATCCCCCCTCATCTCCTAGTTTCTGGTAACCACCATTTTATTCTGTGATTCTATGAATTTAACTTTATTAAACTCTAGATTTCTTTCATGGCCTGAGCTCAGTGTCCTCTCACATGTTTATTTCCCCCACCTGGGGAGGGAGAAATGGCCTGGCACTGCGATCAGTGACAAACATGTCCTGGGGCTCCTATTTGAGGAGACTGTCTCAAGGAGTTAGCACCATTATCAATGGAAAGCTTCTGCTCAGTTCAGAAAATATTCACTGAGCTCCAGTGTAGTGAAGATGAGGTAGGTGGATCACTTGAGGTCAGAGTTCAAGACTAGCCTAGCAAACATGGTGAAACCCCGTCTCTACTAAAAATACAAATATTAGCCAGAGCTGGTGGTGCATGCTTCTTTGGAGGCTGAGGCAGGAGGATTGTCTGAACCCAGGAGGTGGAGGTTGCAGTGAGTCGAGATCGGGCCACTGCACTCCAGCCTGGGCAACAGAACCAGACTGCATCTCAAGGAAAAAAGAAAAAGAAGAAGAAAATGCTCATTGAGAATTTATTACCTGCAAATAGGATACATAAGAATAGATAAATAATGGAATAAGTTGACTTATGTTAAGCATATTTAAGATGAGGTAGCAGTGAACCATGAGAAGCTTCTTAGAGGCAGGAGGATGGAGGTAGTTCCTAGAGAATGGGAAGAAGTGAGGCAAGTCTTGGGGGAAGAAGAGCTCTTCCACATAGGGAGCAACGTGACCGAGAGTGAGGATGCAGGAGGATTTATGGGAGCCTTGAGAGGCAGTGAGCACATCCATCTGGCCGAAGTGGAGGATTTTCACAGGGGAATAATAAAACTTAAGTATAGAGAGTAATTAGGAATAGATTGTGGATGACCTTGAATACCCAGTAAAACAACTGGAATCTGTGTTAGTGAAAGCTTGTAGGATGAACTTTTTAACAGTTTTATTGAGATATAATTGGCATACCAGGATCAGTCTTAACATGGAAGTAGTCCAGAAGCAAGCGGTGTTCTTTGGTGGAGCATGCCCCTTCGACACACTTCCCCGCCTGCTGTGCATTTCCATGTCTCCTCAGCCCTATGCTGTCACTTGCCTTTGCAGGTGCCTCCATTGCTCTCATGGACAAAGAAGGATTGACAGCCCTCAGCTGGGCTTGTTTGAAGGGCCATCTCTCAGTAGTACGTTCTCTGGTGGATAACGGAGCTGCCACAGACCATGCTGACAAGAACGGCCGTACCCCACTGGATCTGGCAGCTTTCTATGGTGATGCTGAGGTGGTGAGTTCCTTTAAACAACCCTCGGGAAAGTAGGGAGAGGGGCTGTTCTCCATCCATACTAGCTGGGGTCGAAAGTGGAGTGAGGTATTGATGATTCCTGATACAGAGCTCTCAGATCTATACCTGCCAGAGAACAGGAACATTCAAATTGCTACTAAAGATCAAGAATGTAGCTAAGGCCTGAAATATCATGGCTGTATAGCCTGATTCAGGCCAGCAGTAGAAGGGCAGGCAGCAGCCAGAGCCCTTGGTGGAACAGTGCTGAGCCATTACGCCTGTCCTAACTGCTCTGCTTGATCTGTGTCCTAGGTCCAATTCCTGGTAGATCATGGGGCCATGATCGAGCATGTTGACTACAGTGGAATGCGCCCTTTGGATAGGGCCGTGGGGTGCCGGAACACCTCTGTGGTTGTCACTCTTCTGAAGAAAGGAGCCAAGATAGGTAGGAGAAGGGAAGAGGGTGTTGGCCATCTGTGCCCAGGGGCCAGACTGGTCCAGTGGTCTGGCTGCCCTGGGTATTTGGTGTGAGCGTATATAGTTCCCCCTCCTCCCTGGCCCAATTATTGTCCAAGTGAACAGAGAGGCTTTTAGCCAAGAGAAAGCGCCATCTGAGCCATGGTCTGCAGTCCCCTGTGTCCAGAACCACATGGTTCTCTACCGTGTCCCTTGTAGCCTTAGCCAGGAGGCTGCTCTGACCTTAAGCACCTCTCAGCACTGCCTCTGTTCCAGCCCCCACCTATCAGCATCCTGGATCTCTGCACTGCCGTGAGCCTTTGCTTTCCCTTGCTCTGAATGTGCTTCAGACTCAAGTCCCTGCTGCCGCTGTCCCAGCTGCTCCCCTGAGCCCACAGACCTGTAGATGAGGGTTGGCTGAAATGCTGGCTTTGTGCTGCCTGCCTCTCACTGCTGCTTTTTCCTTCTTTTTTTTTTCACCTTCATCCATTTTTTTTTCCTCTCCTACAACTTTTTGTTTTCTCCTTTCTTTGAAGGTTGTCAGACGTTACCGAGTCGCCCACGAGGTATATTTCACCGCTGTCAGCATCAGGCGTGGTCTGATGGCTTGGTCAGCTTTGCCTTCTCCTCTTTGGTTTAGCCTGCATGAGTTCCCTACACCTCTAATCTTTTAATTTACTTCACCTTAAAAGAAGATTTTTTTTAATGACTGTTGTAGAGAATAACTTGAACTTTTGATAACTAACCTTGAAAAGCATAGTTTGTAAATAATTCAGGCATTTGTAAACTAATCAATTTAACCTTTTCTTTCTTTTTGTGGGTAAAGTCATCCTCAGTAATGTTGGTTTGTTTCACGTCTGACTGACATTCGAACTGTGCTCCTGCTTCAAAGTGAATCCCAGGGAGTCCTAGTTGGTACTTACTATTTAAGGGAACCTTTAGAACTATTAATGGTTTCCCTTCTGCAAAGTACATATTTTAGTTAAGAGCTAAATAAACATCTGGGGGGTTTGAGTCCCAAACCCAAAATAAATTAACCTTTTTGAACTTTTCAAATCCTGCAGCAATGCTTAATGTAAATCCATTCTCCCAATTTCCTTATTTAAAATAATTCCAAACTAAGCCATTGCCTGCCCACATGCAGCATGCAGGCTTTGCTGCCCTCGTGTGGGGCAGGCTCACATGGTTCCAATATTCTTATTTTAAGGTGAATACAAATCCAACGCAGCTTCTTGGCAGTGGGAGTCACTAAAATACTCCCAGGTCTAAAAGATGAGGTCATGATTGTGGAGCAAGTTGTTCTCTCAGCAGAAATTCCCCCAGGGTATTTTTTTCACCTAGCTTCCTACCACCCTTACATTGTATGAGTTTTTTACCCATCATGCATCCTGTACACTACAGGTCCAGCCACATGGGCGATGGCCACCTCCAAGCCAGACATCATGATCATCCTGTTGAGCAAGCTGATGGAAGAGGGGGACATGTTTTATAAGGTGAGGGGAGTGAGGGACACAGTTTCTTCAGAACAGCCACTCACTGTTTCCTACATGTAGAATCTTCCAAAGTCTTGATAATTCTCACCCTTAGTTGTAGAGGCAAAGGGAGAAAACTGTTCCTCAGTGATGGGCTAATGTGTTGGGGATCCTGGGCTTCTGCCTTACCAAAAGAGCAAGAGTAGCCTATACTCGCCTGTAGCTGATCGACCTAAAGCCCTAGTTTTCCCTGGTCACTAACCAGTGGTTACGTAGATTTTTACATGGAATCTGCTAGGTAGGATTTGGAGACTCATGGGACAAGTAACAGTAAAATCACATAGTATAGCTATTTCCAGTATGTTCATCTTAGCTTTCATACTTCATAATATATACATAGATTACAAAGTATATTGTAACAATAGCTTATCAGCATCCTTGAGTAAGATAAGGAAACCAAGACAAATAACAATTATAAGATTTGTTTGAAATCATGCACTGAATGACAACAACAAAAAATGTGGAGTCTTTTTGTACTCACAGTTCAAGCTGAAGTCTCCATACCCTGACACAAATAAACTCCCTTGGTCTATTCCATGTCAAAGCCATTGCACTGTGTTGAGATCAGCTGGATTATCCTCTCCTGAAGGTGCATACAAATCCAACCCAGTTTTTGGCAGCAAGCATCACTGACACATCCCCAGGCCTAAAAGATGAAGAACAGTGGTGAAGCATATTATTCTTACCTGTGTCAGAAGTGTACAAGTTCCTAGGAGCAGAATTCTGTCTTCTAAGTACCGTTTGAGTGAGTCTTGGTAATCTAGGACTCGCGGGCTTTCAGGAAGCTTGAGCCCTGGCCCAACCTTGATTCTACATGACTTCAAAGAAGGTCCTCATTACTCTAGATGTCATATTTGTGGACTTCACGATGGCATTGCTCTCAGGTTATGTCTTGCTTATAGCATAACTTCTGGTATTCTAAGGCAAGGAGTTCTCGTAATGAAAATATGCAGTGCCATTATTGTTCCCCTCAGAATTCTACCCTGAAAGACTCCAAATCTCTCCTTAGTAAATGGTGCTAAGGGAAAAATAAAAGACTAGGATCCCTGTGGAGCTGTAACTATAGAGAAGGAACAAGGTGGATAAAGATCAGCTAAAAGGGTGGGAGATGCTGCCTTCATCTTTCTGGGCTCAGCTTATAGAGTCTCAAAGTGGAAGAAAAGTTGGCCACTGTGGCCAGATGTCTAAATTGGTCGTAGATGTACATCTTGGATAATCCCTCCTACAATATCAGAGGGAATCCCAGACTCTAAACTTCACTTCTCTACTGCCATCCTACTCCATGCCTTTTCCAAAAATGGGGAACACTGATCAGTATTCTTTTATGCAGTGAGATTAGGGAAGCATCCGCTAGACTGCTTTAGTTCCCACATCCTTCATGAGGAAGAGAATGACTTCTAGAGGGCTGGCCAAGTGGAGTGTCAGACCAGCAAGAGTTTTCCAGACAAGCCAGAAATGAAGGAAAAGTAATTTAGGAGTGCTTGGGACTAGGAAGTCATATGTGTCCTACAGAGATCAGTTCAAGCAAAAGGAGCTTTGAAATGAGCATGATCAGCCTCTTTGGAATCTGGTTAGGAAGCCAGGGTCCAGGGCCTTCCATTTGCCAAGGCTTTGTCTCCCTGGCTTGTATCTTGGGTATTAGCTCAACCTTGCCTTTCCTGCCAGGTGAGTTTCCTTTAGAAAAGACGAGACCCTTCTGCTTTCATCATCAGGGCCAGAACTCCTCTCTAGGTTGGTGTTTGGGAGGGTTAGCCCTTAGTAACAGCTGCTGAGAAGAGGAAGGGAGTGGGGACCACACTTCCTCAGCTGTTCAGCAGACCAACTGTGTGTTTCACCATCTTGTGCTCCCATTAGAAAGGTAAAGTAAAGGAAGCTGCCCAGCGCTACCAGTACGCCCTGAAGAAGTTCCCTAGAGAAGGGTTTGGTGAGGACTTGAAAACTTTCCGGGAACTAAAGGTGTCTCTTCTCCTCAACCTCTCTCGGTGTCGCAGGAAAATGAACGTAAGTCCCTGTCACCCCAACTCCTTTTTGCAGTCCTGGAAGCTAATAGCCCACACTTCACTCACTGGCTTTTACCAGGCCCCTGAAATCCTCCTCTGCCCCATTTGGAACTTGGTTGTCCTTCACAGAGCACTGACATTTGCAATTTGAAAGAAATCAAGTCTAAGTACAATCTGTATCTCAAACTGTTAAGAAGTCAATGCTGCAAGTACTTTGCGGCTTTCTGAGTGTTCATAATTTCACCAAAAATGATGAGAATACCATCTTCCCCACTCCCATACCACCAAGTCAGTGTTCTGGTCTTCGGGAAAATGTGAGAGCAGTGGCCACTAGAATTCCAGTTGCAATTAGATAGGAGTTTAGTCACTACTTTCAGTATATTCCCTTGTCATTTGAAGAAGGGCTAAGAAGAGGGCTCAGGACCATGGTCTTGAAGATTAATTTCTGAGGCTATTCTTGAACTTTTTGCCTCTTTCCTCATCTTTGTATCCCAGCACACCATGTCCCTTCTCGTCCTAGAAGAAATCTCAGAACTCCCCCTGGACCTTTATCGTCTCCCTGGTAGGCCTCGGTCCTTCCTGCCTGCCTTACAGACCCATCTCAGATGCCTTCAGCCCCTACCCCTTCACATAAAGACACTCCAAGCCAAGAACCCGCGCTCAGATTTTGGGAAGAGCTAAGATTGTGTCAGGAGTCTCTGACATCCACCAGCCTGAGGTCTCATAGTTCTTCAGGAGATAAAAATAATCCAAGCCAAACAGATGTGTTGATCAATTAAAAACTCAGCTGGAAAGAAGCAAGATTTAAACTTCATGGCCAAAGATCTTCCAGAAAGATGATTTGTGTGTGTAACCTTTATATTATCCAATCCAGATCCTAAACCCTGACATCGGAAGGAGCCCGAGATAAACCTGACTGTCTCAGAGAACACATCCATGGCCCTCAGGCAGAGTTGTCCCAGGGTGCTGAGGGAAGTGGAGATGTGGAAGAGGCCCCCTCGGGAAGGGAGAGGGTGGTAGTCTTGGGAGACAGTGAGGTTCTCATGCCCATAGGGTCTCCCGTAAAATGGAAGGAACAGCACCGAGGCCTCCCCTGGCACCCGCCGGTAAGGACGAGGCACAGCTCAGAAGTTGCTGCCAACCCACTGATCTCTTTCCCCTACCAAATAACAGACTTTTAAAAAATGCCCTCATATTCTCAGGAATAAGGATGGTCCCAAAAGAACAAATAAAAGGGAAGGCTGGAAGCAGAGCAGGGACAGAAGGTGACCCATAAAAGATGAAATTCTTTCTAGCTCCACATTTCTTCAGAAGCAGTTAATAATCACCTCCTGGGCCAACACTGCACCCAGCACCAGACGTCTGTCTTCTTAGGTAGAGGATTTCCCATCAACTTTGTGATTTTTTTTTTTTTTACCTATGCCCCAGGGCCTTTGTTCTGCTCAAGGCTTTGTCTTCTGCCTTAGGAATCATGACTGTAACCAGAGGCTACCAGTACATGCTGTACTGTGGCTTTGACACTAAAAGAAGGGGAAAACCTTCCCTTTTAGCTTAGTATTTAAGGGAATACTAAAAACCATAGACTCTGCCTAGTCAGCATTGTTCCCCACCCCACGGTCTCTGTTCCCAAGGTCCTCAAAGTAAGGATAGCATCCCTGTGAACATCTTCCTCCAAGGATAGCACAGACCTAACTCACAGCTGGGCCTTCTCTTGTTTTGTTTTTAATTTTAAGTGTTTCCTAAGTAAGGAACCAGTTAAGAAAAGGAACAGAGCAGAGAAGCCTCTGTGAAATAGAAAGTGATAATTAATGAGCACCTACTATGTGCCAGGAACTGTGCAATGCTTTTAAATGCTGTATCACACTTCATCCTGCCTCTGCAGTAGGTATAGACAAGAAAATACACAATACACTCAGGAGTTACAAAGCCAGTCAGAGAATTGAACCCATGCCTGTCTGACACCCTCTCCCTCTAGTTTTCCTTTACAGACGTCATCCTTCTGACGTCACAGGACACCTTCTCACTTGTCCCTTAGAAAGCCAAAGTGCAGTGCGTGTAGCAGGAAGGTGTGGGGCTCAGATGAGTGTTCACACAAGGTGTGGAGATGGGTGTGTTTGCCTCCTACATGTGTGGATAACTTCAGGAGCTTCACTGGAAAGGGTTGGCATTTGGCTTCCAGACTCAGAACTTTATTAAAAAGGCAAAAAGAGGGAAAATTAAAACTATTTTAATATTCTGGGCAGATAAAGTCCAGTGAAAAGTTGCAGGGCTATACAGGGCAAAGGCATAAGGAAGTTTCAGCCCACAGTCCCCACGACTAGAGCCATGTCAGGCCCATCTAGCGTCCCAGGTGTTCCATCTGTAAATGTCAAAAAAATGTACAAATAATTTGTTTTATTCCCAAGTTGTCTATTTTTTATATGTCATCAATGACTCATTTGCACACCTATTGTAATGACAGGATTTTGGAATGGCGGAGGAATTTGCTACTAAGGCCCTGGAGCTGAAACCGAAATCTTATGAAGCTTACTATGCGAGAGCAAGGGCAAAACGCAGCAGCAGGTGAGGAGAGAGAGAGAGGGTGAAAGCAAGAGGTCTCTTCTCTGAAAATTTGGCCAAGGCAGTGTCGGCCACCCTGGGGCATATGTACCCAAACCCATCTCTGTCCTTGAGAATGCTCAGGGCCAGGCTTCGGGGATGACTCCGATAGCCCAGCCCTCAGCTAGAGATCAGCCAATCTGCTGGGCTGTGGAGACCACAGATGTTTCCCTTTGGGAGAAAAACACTTTTTCACTGGAGAATGGCAGCTTCTTCCAGGAGGCCTCTGCCATATCTCAGGCACTTTGCAACCCCCAAAGCAGCTAGCTTAAAAAGACAACAGTGACTGAAAGAAGTCACTGAAGCAGGGCATCCCACTGCCCCTTTCAGAGGGAAAAGTAGGATGGGTCACTTAACATCACAGGCTCCTCTTCCTTTTCATTTAGGCACTTGGGAAATCCCGGATTATTTAGTCTTGCTTCTGGGGCTCTCCTCAAGTCTGGTGGCATCAGACCTCCTTCTCACCTAAACCATCACACCACACACACACGGAGTCAGGAGGTCCTTGCTGCCAGGATTGAGAGGACCCAAGAGAACACCATTCCACATTCCTCATGCCCATCTGCTGTAGTTTGGATACTGGGTAGGAAAGCTCCCCAGAAGAACCTAGAACCTGCTGTCAGTAATCTTTGTCACTGTCTCTTATGCCTCCTGCCCACACCCTCCTTCTCCCCAGCCGCATGGCAAAGAACTGCTTCAGGTTCACTGCCGTGACCAGGGGCATACAGTCCTGAATATCCCACCCAGGAAGAGACTAGCGATGGTGGCGGCAGTCGCACTCTTATCTAGCTGGGGTAACAAAGTCCTCACAGATGCCTGACTCAAATTCTCTTTCCCTCTGGATCTTTCCTTTTTCACAAGGCCAGTTGCACCTCTCAGGTGATATTAGTAGAGAAGATGGGAATGTCTCTGACAGTTCATTTCTTCATTGGAAAATTAGAGTCTCCTTGGAGTCAGCTCAGCTCCAGCCCCGAGTAGCCTAGTCAGCAAGCCTAATGCCTGCCCCACTTTGATAGAGCAAATGGAGATGCTGCAGTTCTGTGGGATGAAGGTTAGAAAGGGTGGAGGACAGGGTTCCTGCCTAGAATAGAATAGGCCTGAAATTTGGAGCTAAAATATTGAGAACATAAAGAAAAATTTCTGCTGGATCAGCAAGATTTTTAAATATTGTAGTTATTTTTGTTCCTAAGCTACTTGACAGTGACCCTGTAAATGACAACCGCACCCAACTCTCATACTGCCTGGTGTGCGTTTGGGCTCTAAAACAACTTCCTGAAGGGCCTGGCTGGACTGGCACAATGGGGACATTTCTCCACTATTCCCAGAGAGGCCAGAAGGAAGATGGAGGCTGAATGGGTTAGGGAATCATTCAGACTCTTCCAGAATGAGTCTACCTATTTCCTTCCCTACAAATCAAACCAAACCAAAACACCCCAGACTCCCACAGACGCCACCACAGTTCTCTGAGATAGTGACCATGTTCTCAGCTCTTGGTGAGTTCTCTGGATTCAGAATAACTCCAGTTCCTATGTTCACATTTTGTCAAGCAGACAGTTTGCAGCAGCCTTAGAGGACCTGAACGAGGCCATCAAGCTGTGTCCAAACAACCGTGAGATCCAGAGACTTCTGATGAGAGTGGAAGAAGAGTGTAGACAGATGCAGCAGCCACAGCAGCCGCAGCCGCCACCGCCGCAGCCGCAGCCACAGCCTCAGCAACAGTTGCCGGAAGAAGCAGAACCTGAACCACAGCATGAAGACATATACTCTGTACAGGATATATTTGAGGAGGAGTACCTAGAACAGGATGTTGAAAATGTTTCCATTGGCCTCCAGACAGAGGCCCGGCCCAGCCAGGGGCTCCCAGTCATCCAGAGCCCACCCTCTTCTCCCCCGCATCGGGACACAGCCTACATCTCCAGCTCCCCTCTTGGCTCTCATCAGGTTTTTGACTTCCGGTCCAGTAGTTCTGTAGGCTCTCCCACTAGACAGAGCTATCAGTCCACCTCACCTGCCCTTTCTCCAACTCATCAGAACTCACATTATAGGCCTAGCCCACCGCATACTTCCCCAGCTCATCAGGGAGGATCTTACCGCTTCAGCCCCCCTCCTGTGGGAGGGCAGGGCAAAGAATACCCAAGCCCTCCCCCTTCTCCTCTCCGGAGAGGCCCTCAGTATCGGGCCAGCCCCCCAGCCGAAAGTATGAGTGTCTATAGATCCCAATCTGGTTCACCCGTGCGCTATCAGCAGGAAACAAACGTCAGTCAGCTTCCTGGCAGACCCAAATCTCCATTATCCAAAATGGCCCAGCGGCCCTACCAGATGCCTCAGCTCCCTGTGGCAGTTCCCCAGCAAGGGCTCAGGCTACAGCCTGCGAAGGCCCAGATTGTGAGAAGTAACCAGCCCAGCCCAGCCGTCCATTCAAGCACTGTCATCCCCACTGGAGCCTACGGCCAAGTAGCCCATTCAATGGCGGGTAAATACCAGTCTTCACAAGGAGACATAGGAGTCAGCCAGAGCCGGCTGGTTTATCAAGGGTCAATCGGGGGAATTGTAGGGGATGGGAGGCCGGTGCAGCATGTCCAAGCCAGCCTGAGTGCAGGCGCCATCTGTCAGCATGGAGGGTTGACCAAAGAGGATCTTCCACAGCGACCTTCCTCAGCATACCGAGGTGGCGTGAGATACAGCCAGACACCACAGATCGGACGCAGCCAGTCAGCATCCTATTACCCAGTCTGTCACTCAAAACTAGACCTGGAGCGTTCCTCCAGCCAACTAGGTTCCCCTGATGTGTCACATTTAATCAGAAGACCTATTAGCATCAACCCTAATGAAATCAAACCCCACCCACCAACTCCCAGGCCGTTGCTGCACTCCCAAAGTGTAGGCCTTCGCTTCTCTCCATCTAGCAATAGTATCTCCTCCACCTCCAACCTAACTCCGACCTTCCGGCCATCTTCTTCCATCCAGCAAATGGAGATCCCACTGAAACCGGCGTACGAGAGGTCATGTGATGAGCTGTCGCCAGTGTCTCCCACTCAAGGAGGTTACCCCAGTGAGCCCACCCGATCCAGGACCACACCATTCATGGGGATCATAGATAAAACAGCACGGACTCAGCAGTACCCCCACCTCCACCAGCAGAATCGGACCTGGGCAGTGTCGTCCGTGGATACCGTCCTGAGTCCCACATCTCCAGGCAACCTGCCTCAGCCCGAGTCCTTCAGTCCACCATCATCCATCAGCAACATTGCCTTTTATAACAAAACCAACAATGCACAGAATGGCCATTTGCTGGAGGACGATTATTACAGCCCCCATGGGATGCTGGCTAACGGGTCTCGCGGAGACCTCTTAGAGCGAGTCAGCCAGGCCTCCTCCTATCCCGATGTGAAGGTAGCTCGGACTCTACCTGTGGCTCAGGCATACCAGGACAACCTGTACAGGCAGCTGTCCCGAGACTCTCGGCAAGGGCAGACATCCCCTATCAAACCAAAGAGACCATTTGTGGAGTCTAATGTTTAAAAGACGTTTTGTTGGAGTGAGACCCGTATGTTTTCACTGCACATTTTCAGGCTTGGTTTCCACATTTGAGGTAGTTCTCTGGCTTAATTTCTCATGTAGTTTCTGTGTGGTGATCAGAGGTGGCAGCCCACATGCTGAAATCATTTGCATGCAGCCGACTGGGAAGCTGGCCTCCAGTGAGCCAGGACTTCAGTTTCTCTTGTCTGTGCCCAGCCACATGCTCTCCCTCTCTTCAGATGCCAACGAGGAGATTTTTGTGCCGTGTGCTTTAACCCAGGGAGATCACACTGGTCAGCTTTTTCCAGGAGACAATCGCTTTCACTGATGATGTTGTGTACATGTCTTTTTCCTTTTTTAAAAAAATAAGGTGTTCTTGTTTGTTTTATTCTAGAAACTTTAGAAAATAGCGTGTTGCCCCTTTGCCTTCGCATTCTTAGCCAGTGGCACCCACAGTCAGCTGCAGCGCATTCTCCCCAGACCGCCAGCTCTACTAATGCAGCCACCAGGTCTACAGTGTGCATTAGGAAGATTGCTGGTCTTTCTAGAGGGGGTAAAAGGATGAGAGAGAGAAAAGAAGTCAGTCTGCTAAACTGGAAGAAACCCCCAATATAAGTATGTGAAATGTCACTACATTGATTTTCCAAGAGGCATTTTAGGAACATTTAAAAAACCAGCCCTTTAAATATTGCAGTCAGCCAAGGAAATTAGATGAGAATTGTGGCTCTTTTAAGGGAATTCACTGAGAGTTATTCTCTAGGTTTTCAGCCAACAATTAACCACTAAAAGCTGCTGCTTTTTCAGGGTAGGGGAGGGAATAAATACATAGAAAAACAAAAAGGATTGTTCTGGATTCTTGGTGAAAGGCTATGAGAAGTCCGTCCTGGTGACATATACTTTTTAGATCCTGATACATCACTGTCATTCTCCACAAAAAGGAAACTCTTCCCGAGGCTGGCTGGTGCGACAGTCTCGTTAGCTGGATCTTCACCTAGAGCCAGATTTTGTTCTTCTGGCCCTCTGTCTTTCAACCCAGGTGGTATCATACAAAAATTCTTTCTTTCAGAAGCAGATCGGAATCTCTTGGGACCAAAAGACTGATTCCCAGTGTTTCCACCCAGGGCCAGGCCAGTCGTTAGCCATCTAATTCCGTTTTGAGGTGTGTGGTTTCGTTATCTATTATTACAGGAACTGTTTCCTTTCTTCTTCTAGGAGTATTTATGAGTGTGATATTTTAAAGTCAGAGACAGCAAAAAAGTGTTTCGGGGTGAAGAAAGACCGCTTTCAGCCCATTTTCTAGCCCTGGGTGGGGACATGAGCTAGACCGCAAGCTGCTGATCTGGCCACTCTGCACATCTTCTAGGTCTTGTGGTCATTTGGTAGGCTGACCTTCAAGTAATTGAGGCCACTATTGAGAGGATAGCAGGAACATTGAAACCAAAGCCTTAGCACAGGCCTGGAACTGGCTGTGTATCAGCTCTTACAACTAAACAACTCAACCCAACAAACTAAGCAACTAAAGCAAAACAAAGGAGCATTAGTTCTGTTACGGGAATCATTCTGCTCCTGTTAGTAAACGGCTGTAGGAAGGGCAGTTTCCTGAATAAACATCCAGCTGTGACCAGACCTGTTTGTGATAGTATATGCCCTCTGAAGGGGTCATTAAGACACAGGGAGCATGAACCTGAGATCAGAACCATTTCTTTACTAATTGAGATTCTGCCAAATAGACAGACCTCTTCACCCCCAAACCTAAAACAGGCCAGGACTTGTCTCTTTGTGCTGGAAGCAAACAGCTAGGCTAACTCAAGCCCCAGCCTCTTCCCACCCTCCCTGCTGCCTGAGGACCGACTTCTCAGCTAGACCAGGGTGGGCCTCAGCATCGTCTCCCATCTCTGCGGCCCTCCCTCTCTCACATCAGGGAGATGAAATGTATAGCGCTAGCGGCAGCCTCTAGCCAGAAGCCCAGTGGCCTCTCAGATCCCTTTTGGCCAGCTCTCAGCACTGCTGGCCTCTGCATCTTATTCCTTTCCTTATATCCGCCTCTCACTGAGGAGCCAGTGCATTTTGAAGAATTTCTCCGTGTCTGTTAGAAAAGTGCCCCTGCTCATTTGGAACACCACATATCCACCCATCACATGTCCAGGTGAATGAGCAGGTCCTGTAGCTTTACAAATATGCCACTGATGCCACTTCTCCCCAGGGTCTCTCAGTTTTCCAGGATAAAAAGATTTAGGGTGTATACCATATTGGTCAAAACACCTAAAATGTCAACAGTCAGTTGCACTTTTTTTGCCATCCTAAGAGGGAGTAAGTATCACTGCTGCGTGCCCGTTGTTTTTGACTAGAAAATGCCAACCAGAGTTTGTTGGGGCAGGAGACGTTTTTCCTTATAAGCAGACTGCCTGTGCCCTGTTTGCTACTTCACTGCCATGGGACGATCTGAGTACTGTATTTCAGAGCTGCCCCTTCCCTAGCAGCGAACACTCGCTAAGTCCTTGTCTGGCTTCAGGTGGGAGGAAATGTTTCAGACGAAACTGGCAAGTTCCACTCACTCAATTCCTATCACCCTGAAATGAGGACAGAGGTGACAAACTTCTGCTTAATAGGTTTCTCACCAAATTGTATGTTCCATTTGCCCAGAATTCTTGCACTAATGGGTTTCTATCACATCATGTCTATAAATGGGTGCACTTTACTGTTTGAATTTGTAACTCTGATAAATACTGGATATTTAAGTGTGAGTAATGTCTTCATTAGAAAATAGTAGAACCGCTCTTGTCTTTTAGTGTATTTTTCAAGAAAAAAAAGGAAAAGAAAGACATCAAGCAGTGGATCACAACATTTATAGCACAAGAAATAACTGTTGTATATAAGCAACAAAAATATTAAGAATTTTTTAATACAAAAAATATTTGCAGTGATTTTAAAGTGCTTTTCCAGCAATGTTCTTAGGGACTCCTGAGACACGGTTACTTTATCTACTGGATCAGTAAGGCACACAATTAACAATTAACAATTAATGTTTATTTACAAAGTAAAGGGAAAACCTGTGTAACATGAGCATTTGGCATGACAAAATGGAGACCATTTTGTATCTGCTGTTGTATCTTGTCCGGGTTGCAGACGTGCACTATTAAAGTCCCAAGTTAATAGAGCACAAACCCTTCTCGTTCCTCTCCCACGTGCCCCTCTTTTTAGATGTGTATAACTTAAACTCGATGGCTCAGGAAAATCCCATTAATTAGAATCATGTACAGTACCCCAGGTTGTTGTCCGGATATACAAGTTTGCTAATGTAGTTAAGCCTGGATTATTAAACACTTTTCCTAAATTATTGTAAACAGAACAGCTTAGAGAAAGGTATTCTCAGTCCTTATATTGTATAGTTTATGAACCCCTCTCTAAATATTGGTATTTTTATATTCCAGAGATGTACCCAATAGAAAAATTAAAAAATAATCGGTATCTAATTTAATATCCATAAGTATTTTCCCTAGATTTTAGTCATATACAGTGGACTATGTGGACGTCACTTGTGCTTCACCGTAGTTTACCACTAGGTGTCACTGTGGCTCTGCACGGCACTTGTTTTGTAGCAAAGAACCGCAGCATCTCCTCAGGAGAGAGGAGCTGCTTCCAGGGCAACAGGCAGGCAGGTTCAGAAGTTCAGGAGAAGGGAACAGAGGCCTGGAAGGGGTCTTCGTGCATCTATGCCAGTTGTGCAAGGCGAACTCTTGGAACACTACATGCTTTGGACTTCGGCCAGGCAGAGGCTGGGAGAAGGGTGACCAGAGCTCCCTCACTCTGGTGGAGGGATGGGTACATGGAGAAGCCCCTTCTTCCCCATGAGCCTCCCTCCTCTCAGTTCCTCTCAGCCTCCAGCTTTTATCACTACAGAAGCATCACGGTTGGTTTGATTCAAAGATAGTTATTTTTCTACTGCAGAAATGCCTTGGACAAAACCAGTGCTCACTGAATCTTTGCCACAAAATCGAACAGGCTATCCCAAGGGGCAAGAGGTGCCCACCCCTGTGCCCGGCCTCCTCTTGATGCTCCCAGTGCCCAGCAGCCTCACCCACCCTGCCTATCTGTTCCTGGGCTGTCCTTTTCTCAAGAAAGTGACCTGCAAAGGCAGCCAGCTGCTGCCTCCACACCGAGGGCTGCGTGGCCGTGCTGCTTGCTCACTGGGAGGTGCGGCTCTTTCTCCTTCCTCTAGGAATTCCAGACCAACCATCCACCATGACTAACAACAATGAACAAAGGGCTTAGGGGTAAGAGCTACCTACAAAGACGTGTCATGGAACCCTTCACCATGCAATGCCTTGAACTCAGCTCTGGCTGCTCCCAAGAAAAGGTGGCTGGCTGGGGGCCTGGACACAAGCACAATGGGGCTGGTGGAGCCACTGTGCAGAGCTACTTGAATAATCACTGGGTTTTCATCAATTCCTTTTGTCATACAGACCACTCAAGGGCTGAAGTGTTGGTAACCTTCATTTCGGTGTCCTCACAGCAGCTGAGCCACCCTCAGGTGGTGGCCACAGTCAGAGCTTTGAAAGTTAGTACCAAATGAACGCATAATTGGACACCAAAAAATCAAGTGTTACTTTCATGTTTCCTCACCCCTATCATCTCATTGCCTCCTGCTGACTCTGATTCCAACGCTGAGCTGACCTGCCAGGCTGCCGCTGGATGCTAGAGATGCAGGCCAGCGCCACGCTCGTTTTTCCAGATAGACCTACTCTGTGGAACGGAAGTGCCCTAGCTGCTTTGTTTTTGTAGCACTTGCTGGCTGAATTTTTCTTTTGCTAACTGCTAACCAGAAAGTCTGGTTAGATGGGGCTCAACTCACTCCCTTTAGTCCCCAGAGCCAGACAAGAGTTAATTCTGGAAAATTCAGTACTTGAATGTACCTGCCTTATTGCATACCAATTTACTGGGGGGGAAAAAATAGAGATGCCGGCTCCAGATCTCCACTTCATTCACAGGTTATTTTGGAAATCCTGTAAGTTACACTTCCTGTTGTGGTTTTGTTTTGGTTTTTGTTTCCTTTGGCTGATTCCTGCTGAGTGAGGCCAGTTCCTCATCAGGCTCAGGGCAGGTGCCGTTTTCTGGCATGGCCTCCTTTCCATCTAGCACAGCATCTTTGTCTCTGTTTTGTCTCCTCCAAATCCAAGATGATTTTCATTAGTACAGACATGTACAGTCTACAGTTAAAGAGTGATTTGTACTAATATGATTTTGATTCTTCCTCCTCTTTGCTGTCCTTTCAAGACCCTTGCTGGAAAAAGCTTTAATGCACTTAGTTTTCCTTTAGGTTTTCTATGACTCAGATGTAAAGGACTTTCTCTGTACAGTATATTACCCAATGCATGTTTGTTCTCTATCCTAATATATTGACCACCACACAGTTGTGAACTCGTGCAGTGGGGATGTCCCACACCCAACAGAGGCATCTAGCCCCCTGTGTAAAAGGAAAGACATTTTCCTTTGCTGTACTTGCTTGAGCAGTTTTCTTGTCTGTACATGTGAGCTGTGTGAGATAGATGTGAAAAGTTCAAATGAATGCATTTTCCTGCCCCATGTATACAGATTATCATCTGTACAATGAACTGTATGTATGAAAGCAAATGTACTTATTTATAAATGGCTAACACTTGGAAAAACATGGTGTTGTGATGCTTTTCTCCTTCCGTTATAGTCTCTTCAGGGAGTTGGCTTTTACACTGGCCCTCCTGAGGATGCCATGATGGGGGGGCGGGGCGTCTTCCCCCAGGAGGAATCGGGCAGGTTAGGGCTAAGGCCAAATTCCTGGTCATTTGGTCGGCCTCTTGTGGGACATTCAGAGTCACCCCTTTGTGCATTTATTTCCTCAGTCACATTATTGAACGCCTCTTCTCCTCAGAGTTGTTGGACAGTGACAGGCCCTCAAGAAAGCTGTGGACAAGAGATGCCATTCTAAGGACCTATCAGCACAGGCTAGTGACATTTGTCAAGAAAGGGAGGCTTTTTCTTCATTGGAAGAGGTTTTTCTCCAGCTAAACCAAGGGAGCACTGAGCTTGTTTGATTTTGTAGCCGAAGCTGCACCTGATCAGCCACCCTACCAAAAGCCAAGGCTGAGGAGGGCTGCCAACTTGAGTGGTTACATTTCAGACTGCATCCCTGAGAGGGCAGCGAGCAGGGGTACAGCTCGCACTGTAGACCCAAGGGCTTGGCCGCAGCTGGAGGCCCACCTTCCAGGGGCTTTGTCTTTTCATCAGACATCTGGTCGAACTCCAGTCCTCACCATACAGACAGCTAGGCAGCCACACTGTGTGTGGAAAAGTGGCAGGTTTCTTGCAACTGGCTGGAGACTCAATACCTTCTAAAGGGAAGAGGAGGGAATAGCACTGAGCCTGTAGCCTTTCCTGCCTAACTGCTACCTCTGTGTTTACTTCAGGGACAAGCAAGGAAGGAGACCACTTCCTCTAGCCATCAGATCTGTGCTAAACAAACATTTCTGCTGTGCAACTACCTGCATTTCCCAAAGCCTGGGAAAGCAGGAAAACTCCAGGCCACACACAGTCGGCCCAGCCTGGATGCCACAATTGCCTTCAAAGAGAAGGGGGGACTCTGGCAGTAGCCACCTGCACAATCTCAAAACCATTCCTAGGCTGCTCATTTCATTAAAAAAAAAAAAAGTCATTGGCAAAATCTTAGATAGATTTAAAAAAAAAAAAAAAAAAAGATGGGAGTCTCTGTCGTCCAGGCTAGAGTGCAGTGGCACGATCTCAGTTCACTGCAACCTCCGCCTCCCGGGTTCAAGCGATTCTCCTTCCTCAGCCTCCCTAGTAGCTAGGATTACAGGCACCCGCCACTGCACCTGGCTAATTTTTGTATTTTTAGTACAGATGGGATTTTGCCATGTTACCCAGGCTGGTCTCAAACTCCTGACCTCAAGTGATCCACCCACATTGGCCTCCCAAAGTGCTAGGATTACAGGCATAAGCCACTGTGCCCAGACTAATTTGTTTTGTTTTGTTTTGTTTTTAGATAGAGTGGGAGTGTTATGTCACTCTGTCACCCAGGCTGGAGTGCAGGGGTGATCATAGCTCACTGAAGCCTCGACCTCCTGAGCTCAAGCATCCTCCCACCACAGCCTCCCAGGTACCTGGGACCACAGAGTGTGCCACCACGCCCTGCTAACTTTTGTTTCGTTTTGCAGAGATGGAGTCTTGCTGTGTTGCCCAGGCTGGTCTCGAATTCCTGGCCTCAAGCTATCCTCCTGCCTTGGCCTCCCAAAATGCTGGGATTACAGGTGTGAGCCACCACATCTGGTCAAACCCCCAGTTTTTTAAGAAGTCCTGAGACACTGAAGGAAAGGAAAAAGGGAATGATTCATTTTAAAAAACTATTAATACTTCTTAAAAAGAATTTACCCTCGACCTGAATAAAAAGCTACTCAGAGTAGAAACAAACAGCAAACTCAGCAGAAGCCTGTGTAGATCCTCAGAAGCACCAGCTCAGACATTCTTCCCCTGGGTATCTGCATCCCTCATGGGTACCTTTTGGAAACTGCAGGCAGGTGCAGTACACATGTGCATGTGGTGGCTAAACTACCCTGCGGTCAGCTGGGAATGGGTAGGTGAACCAGCGGGGAATGGAGTCATCCTCTTTCAGCCTTAAAAACAGAAACTGGATGAGGAGCTTGGAGAGCCTTGGCAGCTGAGTTATTCCATTCTCAGGAATAAGATAGGGCATTGATAACAAGGGTTATCACATCTGGAAGGCCCTGTGATAAAAAGAGAGGGTCCTCATAGAAGAGAAGGTGCTCAGAGTCCATTCTAACAGGCCGTTCTCTTGGGAGGTCCATTATGTCCCAGATACCATAAGGGCTTCACATATATTCCCTAATGTATTTCTCACACCTCGACAGGCGACACTGCTGTCCCCAAAACACAAATGCGGAAACAGATCCTGAGAGCTGAAGTTGCTCAGGGTCAGGCAAAGGTAGGACTGACTCAGAGCCGCACTGAGAGCTCTTCCTGCCACCATGCTGCTTCCTCTCTCAGAAGGGATGGTCTCAAAAGAGCAAACCTGAATGACGCCCAGCAGAGCCCAGACACTGGGTCCAGGAGGATGGCTTGGGAAATGCAGTGTGCTCATTTGGAGAAATAACTCTATGTTCAGTCAAGAGGAGTTGCTTTGGGACTTCACAGAGTCCCAAACCCAATAAAAAGGTGACATCCCTGCTGTTATCCAACTCGAGATTAGTAGAGGAAGACATGAAGTGGCTCTCTGGAGAGGGAGGCATTATCCCCCGGTGCCCGAGGTCATTTCAGTATTCACAGAGACTCTTTCAGAAACCCGAAACTGGACCCCTTCCTTACACCTTATACAAAGATTAACTCTAGATGAATTAAAGATTTAAACATGAGGCCTAACACCATAAAAACTCTAGAAGAAAACCTAGGCAATACCATCCAGGACATAGGCATGGTCAAGGACTTCATGACTAAAACACCAAAAGCAATGGCAACAAAAGCCAAACTAGACAAGTGGGATCTAATTAAACTAAAGAGCTTCTGCACAGCAAAAGAAACTATGAGTGAACCAGCAACCAACAGAATGGGAAAAAAAACTTTGCAATCTACCCATCTGACAAAGGGCTAATATCCAGAATCTACAAGGAACTTAATCAAATTTACAAGAAAAAAACCCCATCAAAAATTGGGCAAAAGGTATGAACACTTTTCAAAAGAAGACATTTATGCAGCCAACAAACATATGAAAAAAAGCTCGTCATCCCTGGTCATTAGAGAACTATGAATCAAAACCACATTGAGATACCACCTCCCACCAGTTAGAATGGTGATCATTAAAAAATCAGGCAACAACAGATGTGGAGAAATAGGAACGCTTTTACTCTGTTGGTGGGAGTGTAAATTAGTTCAACCATTGTGGAAAGGAGTGTGGTGACTGAAGGATCTAGAAACAGAAATACCATTTGACCCAGCAATCCCATTACCGGGTATATACCCAAACGAGTATAAGTCATTCTATTATACGTATGTACACATGTACACGAATGTTTATTGCGGCACTGTTCACAATAGTAAAGACTTGGAACCAACGCAAATGCCCACCAATGATAGACTGGATAAAGAAAATGTGGCACATACACACCATGGGATACTATGCAGCCATAAAAAGGATGAGTTCATGTCCTTTGCAGGGACATGGATGAAACTGGAAACCATCATTCTCAGCAAACTAACATAGGAACAGAAAACCAAACACCACCATGTTCTTACTCATAAGTGGGTGTTGAACAATGAGAACACACGGACACAGGGAGGGGAACATCACACACTGGGGCCTGTCAAAGGATGGTGGGGGCTGGGAGAGGAACAGCCGGGGGTAGGGGGATTGGGGAGGGATAGCATTAGAAGAAATACCCAATATAGATGGTGGATGCAGCAAACCACCATGGCACGTTTATACCTATGTAACCTGCACATCTGCATATGTACCCCAGAACTTAATTTTAAATAAAAAGGGGAGGCCAGGCACGGTGGCTCACGCCTGTAATCCCAGCACTTTGGGAGGTAGAGGCAGGTGGATCATGAGGTTAGGAGTTCAAGACCAGCCTTGCAAAGATGGTGAAACCCCATTTCTACAAAAAAAAAAATTGGCTGGGCACAGTGGCAGAAAGCTGGATTATATATAAATAAACAAACAAACAGGCAAGAAAAAAAGATGCAGAGGCTGGCACAAAAAAAACAAACAGAAAAACAGAAATGGGATGCTCTTGACTGAGGAACCAGCTTGTGACAAGTATCAAGCACGTGCTTTGAATGCTTTTCAGTAAATAAAGGTCCCCACAGAAGCCTTGATTCAACAGGGACTCTACTGGTGCCCTAAGGAAGGACCTCTCAACTCTGGCTTCTACACATGAGAGACCAGCTATGATACAGAAGATAAAGTTTAAACAAATGCTGGGAAACAGGGACTGCTGTTACCTTATTAGAGGATCTGCTGTTGGGTCCCTTTAAATAGTGAGCTCTGGTGAGTTTTTCAGTTGCTTTCAGTCAGGGGTCCCCAAGCCCAGGGCCCCAGGCCAGTATGGGTCCATGGCCTGTTAGGAACCTGGCCACAGGAAGAGGTGAGCAGCAGCAGTGAGCATGACCGCCTGAGCTCCGCCTCCTGTCAGATCCCCGGAACCCTATTGTGAGCTGCGCATGTGAGGGATCTAGGTTGCCCCTCCTTAAGAGAATCCAATGCCTGATGGTCTGTCACTGTCTCCCAGCACACCCAGAAGGGACTGTCTAGTTGCAGAAAAACAAGCTCAGGGCTCCCACTGATTCCACATTACGGCGAGTTGTAGAATTATTTCATTATATATTATAATGTAATAATAACATAAAATGCACAATAAATGTAATGTGCTTGCATCATCCCAAAACTATTCCCTGCCTCCAGCCTTGGTCTGTGGAAAAATTGTTTTCCACAAAACCTGTCCCTGCTGCCAGAAAGGTTGGGGACCGCTGCTTTAAGTGACAAGGCACAAAGCGCACAGTGCGATTCCATCCAGATTTGCCAAAACACACCTTCTGCCTGAGCCACGTACTTGGATCAAAAGTGGAATCTTGGCTTGTTCCAAAACCTTTGCTGCTCCTCTTAAGGATCAAAAGACCAATTTCAAAGGGAAAGGGGTCTGTTAAACACTGTGAGACACTCCTCCCTGAGGCTCTTACAAGCCTCGGCCCCCAGGCCACCCTCTCAGGCTGAGAGCAAAGGGTTTATCTCACCACTCGGAAACACCGCCTCCACTGGGTTGAGACTGGACAACCTGGGCCTTTTCAGACCGTAGGCCGTGATCAATATCACTAATCACTTTACCTTCTGTGCCCAGCCTGCAGATATCTAATTTCTCTCAGGCCTCGAGCTAACATCATGTTTCTGGCTGCTAAAAGCTCTGGCTCCTTTCATTGCACAGTAAAGGAAGGTAACAGGCGAGAGGTCTGCTGTAGACATTTATTGCATCATCTGTTGCACCAACAGCACACTATTTCACAGAAGATTGGCCACAGGCAAAATAACCCACCGCAGAGCTGCTTCTGGGGGCCATCTTTGGCTCCATCATCCTTAGTCATCCAGCATTCACTTTGGCAAACAGAGCAGTTTACAGACTTTTGTTGCAAATCTAAGGTTCCATTTCTCTCTGTAGCATTTGGACCAGGGAGAGACAGGATTGTACTTTGGTAGTTTGTCTAAGGCGGAGTTCCCACATGTAGACATTTCATTATACAAGTGGGTGTCTGATTAAAGAACGTGCAGTGCCACTACCCTTGAAGAATATACAGTGTGAACAGGAGGCGAGCAGTCATCCAGGCAGGCTGGGAGGAGGCGGGAAAGGGCTCCAAGGAGCCTGGGCAGCCCCTGCTGGGGAAGGGCCTGAACTATAACCACCTGCTCCCAGAAATGACATTGCCTGAGGCAGGAGCAGCAGCAAAAGCCAACTACGGGAGATCTGAGCATTAGAGGAGGCCAACCCGTTTCTCTAAGGCAGCATCGGGGAGGAAAGGGGCAACAGTTCCAGGTCTGGAACTGTTATCAACTTCTTCACTGAAGCAAACTGTGTCTGTCTCAAGCTAAGCCATGCTCCTCAAACCCCCAAAAAACAAGGAAAACAAGGAGAGAACAGTCACCAGATCCAAGAAGCACACGATCAACGTTCTAATCATGCTATCTCCAGGCCAAAGCCAAATGTTGACTCAGCTAACAGCACGACACTCACACAGAACATAAAGGGGCGGGAAGGTCTGCAGACCAGTCTAGTTCTGACTCCATCCTGACTTCCTGGAAAGATGGGCACCAGGTCAGAGGGAGAAGACTCGTCCTCCAGAACAGAGGCAGCAGCTTCAGCAGCAGTGGTTTTTCATTTAAAAAACGCTAAGGTTTGTGCCCTCTGCCTCCCAGCCTGAGCAGAGCCTGGGTGAGCCTGGGAGAGGAAACCGGGGCTGAGCTGTGAGGTCGGGGGAGGGGTGCTGCAGGGAGGGAGCCCCAGCAGAAAGGGGCTGTAGGGTGCCTACCACCTTTGCCCCTCATGTCTGGATCAGCCTGAGAGAAGGCTGCCCACATCTGCGAAGGGAAGGTTTGTCTGAAGTCATGGGCTTCCACCCCCTCTCCCAGCAAACTTGTCCTGGATAAAGGGTTAAAGAATAGGAGAGGGTCAGTACTGCAGCTGGAACAGGGCTTCATCTCAGCCTCCAGGGGCCTGGCCCGCCCCTCTCCTGGGAACCTTGCTCTCAACACCAACATACTTAACACATCATCTCACTTGCTCCTCTGCCAAGGACTGGGCCCATCTGTGCCACGTGTTACTCGGGCTGGAGGGGCTCCTGGTTTGCATTCACAAGCCGTCATGGCCTTTCCAGGCCCGTCCCTGAGGCCCCCCCCCGTTTCCCCTGGCCTTGCCCCAGTCATCTGCTGCCGGGAGGGTGGGACCCTCTCGCTGGCTCCTCTAAAGATCTGTGCTCTGCGACCAGGACTGACCACCAAAGCCTCTGCACTGAAGGGGGCGATAGAGACGCGGGAGCTATAGCAGCGGAGAAAGGGAGAAGCGGAGACGGCGGAGCCCCGCCCCAGAAAGCAGCCCTCAAACAGACGCAGCTGCACGCACTCGCCCGCCCGCCGCCCAGCCTGCAGCCCTGAAGACACCCTGAGGACCCCCAGGGCCTGCTGGGCGCATCACTGGGAGCCGGGACTGTCTCCCTCCGTCAGCGTCTTGAAGTCCATGGAGAGGGCCTGCTCCTCCGCCTGGGAGGGCCGCTTCCAGTCGGGCCGGGTCAAGATGTAGAGCACCACACCCCCGAAGCAGGCCAGCAGCAGGCCCAGCACGTTGGCCAGGACGCCCTCGGGCTCAAACAAGCTGTACTTGGCCCTGCTGGGTGAGAGGAAGGGAGGAGCTGCCTGAGCGGTCACAGGCCAAATGCCCTTCGTATCCTGGGCCTTAAATATGGCACCGGGATGCCAGCACCGGCACCTGCCTCCCTACCCTGCCCAACAGAACGACCACCCCTCCCCAACCAGCAATCTCCAGCTACAGCTCAGAGGAGACAGAAAGAGGTGGGAAATGTAAAAATCTAGATCATTCTTCCAGTTCTAAGCAGTTGTGCCGCAGATCCTGCTGCGCAATGGGAATGAACAGGGTGCCTACAGCCCTGAAGTTTCTCTGAAAGGATAAAGCCAACCAAAGCCAGGCCCCAGGCCCCCAAATCTTAGCAAGCGTACTACAAGCGCCAGCTGTCTGAGTCCACGCGAGGCGGCGCAAGAAGCCGCAGCCAGCCAGGAAGCCGAGGGCAGGGTGGGCTCTGAGCGGGGCTGTCCCGGGGCTGGCTCGGGCCCTGCCCCTTCCCGCCCTGGACACTCACCCGAGCTTGAACAGTAAGGCCTCCTTCAGGCCCAGCAGGGCGGTGCCCACGGAGAGGATGAAGATGGTGGCGCCAAAGAAGATGTGTGACGCGCGGTAGCGGCTCCGCAGGGAAAACGAGGCTCCAGGGAAAAGGAAGAAGCTGAAGCCCACCAGCCACTAGGAGGAAAGGAGGGCAGTTCCGGGATAGGGCGGTGGCCAACCCGAGCAGCAGAGGTCGGCCCAGGCCCTAGTCGACGCGCCTATGCGCCCGTGCGCCCATGCGCCGACGGGCCCAAGTGGCGACTGGGAGCCCCTCAGCCCCACCTGGTTTCCTCCCTCCTCAGCACGGTGGTGGGAGGGGCATGACCCAACGCTTGAGGCCTTAACACGCTTGCAGACTCAGAAAGCTGGGCTTGTGAGCCGCAGGGCGCCTGGGAGCTGGGCACTCTTGGCCTCCAATCCTAGCTCTGCACCCACCCGGGCCAGGAAAGGCAGAGTCCAGCTGTGCTAAGGCAGCTCTCGCCTCTGCACGCACCCCAGGGAACAGGCCCTTCCATCAAGCACATTCGGCCCAGCTCCCCTCCCCTCCCACCTCACTGGGAGGTGGCCCAGGCACCAGGTGCTGGAAGGACTCACCTGCACGAAGTAGAGGACAAAGACGAGGATCCCGCACCAGCTGTGCAGGCTGTACAGGTCAGCATAGCCCTTCTTCCTGTGGTAGTCAAACACTGCCACCAAGCCTAGGCCAGAGACAGGCCACAGGAGGACAGGGTTGGATGTGGGAAAAGGAGGGGGAGAGATGACCCAAGCGAACAGGTTAGCGGGGACTTCTGGGCTTTAGTCTCAGCTCGATGGCTGCCAGCACCCAGCAGCCCTGCAGGGAATGCTTGGGGTGGGGCGGGCCCATCACAGCTCCGGGGATGGAAAAGAGCAGATGAGGTGGGCATTTGCAACGCCTAAAGAGGCAGGCAGGGGCAGGAAGGCTGCACCCAACAACTCACCAACCAGGGCGATGGTGAGCGCAGAGACGTGCAGCATCCCATGCAGGACCTTAGTGGTGCGTTTGGCTTCATTCCTGAAGACACGGTAAACCAGCAGGGCTGTGGGAGGCGAGAGCGAGAACATGAGTGCACCTGCCTGCAGTGAGGCCTCCTGCCCAGCAGCAAGGAGGCCCCTTGGTGCAGAGGCAATGTGAGCTGGCAGCTTGTCACCAGAACCCAGCTGCAGGAACCGAGGACAAAGCCAGCCTCCCTGGGGACCCTGGGCATCTCCTGGCCTTCTCCTAGGGCACCTAGGGCTGTGTGCAGCCTAATACCCCTCCCCGACCCTCCAACCTCCCCAAGCTGTGCACACTCAAAGACGGCAGGGCGGGAGGCTGCACCACATCCCGTCCAGGAGAGGCAGCAAAGGCAGGGCCTTTGCCCTCGCCCCCACCTGAAGGACCTACCTGGCCCAACAGATGCCCCACCCCACCCGCCTTCTTATCGGGTGTCCTGCACATTCCAAGGTGTGTTTGGGGTTCCCTGTTGGTCACACTGAGGAAACCAGTAGCCACTGAGTTCACCTGTTAGCCACGTGGCTTCTCACACGGCCCCACTGCAGCCTGGGCACATGGTCCTAGGCTTAGCAAGCAGCCCCCCTTCCAGGCAGAACCCTGTGATCCCAGCCTGACCTCCCACATCCAGAAGAGGTGGGCAAGGCCAGGTCACGTGAGGAATGCCTCTGCGCTTTCTGCTGCTCAGGGTGGCTGTCACCAGGACTGCCTCTAGGAAGAGCAGGATCAACCAGATGTAGATCCCACTTCCTGGCTCCTGTCCCAGAGGGAGGCACTCTAGCTCTGCCAAGTCCAAGACACACGCGCATGTGTGCACACACACACACTCGCATATGCTTATTTTTTCCCTCAATTCAAACCATCCCTGCAGCACGGCCAGGCTTGGGGCCCCACCCCTTTCCCTCTGCTCCACGAAGCCCCCACCTTGGATGCTCTGTGTGGAAACAGGAGGTGCCAGTGCTGGGCCAGGCTGGACAGGAGCTGCCACCCACCAGCCTCCATCTCCCCAGGCTCTGAGCCAGCTTTCATCTCTGTCTTTGTTAGAATCTTAGATTTGTCCAACTGGAAGAGACTGCAGGGGTGACAGGACCCCTGCAAACTGCCTCTCAGGGACCCCCACAAGCCCAGGCAGATAGGAGTGGCCATTGGACTCACCATCTCCCTGCAGGAAGATCAGGCCTATGGCCATGCAGAGCGGGTGCACGTTGAACTGCAGGTCGCTCTCCCAGGCAATGCCGCCTCGGTACAGACCAAGCCAAGCGCCAGTCATGGCCACCAAGGTCAGGCCCAGCAGCTGGGAGAAGGCCACGTAGTAAGGCAGCGCTGCGGGGGTGGACACTGTGGCCCTGCCCTCCATGCTGAGGCCAAGGCTGCAAGAAAAAAGCAGAGCTCAGAGGAGCAGCGCACAGCTCCCGGAGATGTGCAGAGCCCCCTGAGACGCACAAAGCTGCCCCAGAAGCACACAGCCCCCCAAGGTAAGTATGGGCCCCCCCAGATGTGCATGTCCCCTGAGATGTACATGCCTCCCCAAGATGTGTGTGGCCACCCCAGATGGCACACAGCCACCCCTGAGATGCGCTCAGTCCCTGCACACAAGATGCACACAGCCGTCCCCAGAGATGCACAGTCCCCCCAGATACATACAGACATCCAAGATATGCACGGCCCTTCCAGATGTGCATGGGCCTCCCAAGATGCGCACAGTCCCCCCCCAAAATGCACACAGCCACCCCCACTAGATGTGCACAACAGCCCCTGGGGTTGTACATAGTCCCCCCAGATGCACACAGCCACCCCTAGAGATGCACACAGCACCCCCGGAGATGCGCATGTACCCCCCCCACCTCCACCATGATGCAGCCCCAATACCCTCCACCGAGGCTCCCAAGGGAAGCAGCCCTCATTCTCCCACCCACAAACTCCTTCCCACCCATCATCCTGGAGCAGAGGTCCCAAGTCTCAGGAATTACTTGAGGGGGCAGGCTCCCCACAGGAACAGGCGAGACCTGGGACATGACACGAGGAGTTCCATACGCAGTGGATGCAAGGCAAGATACCCCAAATTCTGGTGAGCACAAGGGCCCAGTGCCTGGCTTTCTTTTCTGTTTCAAGAGGCCCTGGCTTTCCTCAGGTGGGCTTTGCAGGTGAGTTACACAGGTGAGCACACTCCTTGAAGGGATGGGGCTGGTCACACCTTTTCTCCAGATGCATCATGAAGTACATCTCGGGGAGAAATGGGAAGTCTCTCTCCCCAGCCTGGTTTTTAACTCCCCACTGGCAATGAGGAGGCCCCCCGACCCAACACCCAGGAGAGCCAGCCCAGCTTCCACGCCCCGCCCACCCCCCCACCTCGAAGCACCTGCAGAATAGAAGTGCTGCGACCCAGCTGCACACAGGGACCTGTCAGCACACAGGGACACTGCACTTCCCCTCCACACCTGGGGCAGGTGGACCCGCACTCTAGAACGGTCCTCAGGTGAGGTTCCAAAACTGAAGGTCCCCGAGAGTGAGGCCTTCGAGGGGGCCGGGTAGAGCTCAGCACGGCTGTGGAGGCACTCAGCCCCACGTGGCCCTCCAGGGAGAACAGAGAGCAGGTGGTTCCTAGGGATGTAGGAATGAGAAGGCCACACTAGGAGCCCATGGGAGTGCCCAGTGCCTGCACAGCCTCGTGCCAAACAGGAGAGCGCCCAGCAGCTGGGGATGGGAAGAGAGGCGGCAGGAGGAGAACAATCGTGCCCTCGCCTGCTCTCCCTTCACCCAGTGGCAGCAGCCCGTGCGCCATGGAATAGTGCTGCCATGGTCCTCCACTGCCACTGTGACTGCTGCACCACGGCCACCACGAGCAGACACTGGAGCACCGCTGCTGCCCCCACCACACCCCAGATGGTTGCCCACTGGCCCCTCGCCATGGTCCAGCCTCTCCTGGCAGCAACTGTATCAGAACTAGGAGGACAGTGGCCAGCACAGGGGCACTGACCCCTTTCACACCCACCACACACTGCCCTGCAGTGCCCAGGAGCTGGTTTTCAGTCCCTCCCAGGGATGGGCTCCTTCTCTGCTGCCCAGTTCTCTCTGCCACGTTGGACAACTGTTGGCAACTCCACCATTAAAAGTGGGATGTGTGTTGGTCAGGCTCGGTGGCTCACACCTGTAATCCCAGCACTTAGGGAGGCCAAGGCGAGTGGATCACCTGAGACCAGGAGTTCAAGACCAGCTGCAACACAGTGAAATCCCGTCTCTACTAAAAATACAAAAATTAGCAAGGACATGGTGGTGCACACCTGTAATCCCAGCTACTTGGGACGCTGGGGCAGGAGAATCACTTGAACCCAGAAGGCAGAGTTTGCAGTGGACCAAGTTCATGCCACTGCACTCCAACCTGGGTAACAGAGTGACTCCGTCTCAAAAAAAAAAATTTTTTTTTTCATTAAAAAGAAGTGGGAAGGCCAGGCATGGTGGCTCACACCTGTAATCCCAGCACTTTGGGAGGCCGAGGCGGGTGGATCACGAGGTCAAGAGATTAAGACCATCCTTGCCAACATGGTGAAACCCCGTCTCTACTAAAAATACAAAAAATTAGCTGGGCATGGTGGCTCGTGCCTGTAATCCCAGCTACTCAGAAGGCTGAGGCAGGAGAATTGCCTGAACCCAGGAGGCAGAGGTTGCGGTGAGCCGAGATCGTGCCATTGCACTCCAGCCTGGGTAACAAGAGCGAAACTCTGTCTCAAAAAAAAAAAAAGCGGGGGAAGGTGTGTTAATAATCCACACACACTGCAGTAGAATATGGATCAGCAAAAAAGGTAAAATGGCAGGCCGTCAGCATTTGCTCTACATCCTTACACACCTTCCCAAACACATATGCATCCTCTAATAGAAGCAGGATCGCGCTCTTTCCTAATCTGCTTTCTCACTAAGGGCGTAGCACATGGTTTGTGTCACTGAGTATGCAGCCACATCATCATTCTCACGCTCTTACACTGCATGGCCATTTTTTAGCCAGCGAGTCCCCACTGTTCAGCATTTAGCTAGCTGTCAGCTTTCCACCAGATAACCGATGTGGTCATCTTTGCAAACTCCTCTGTGGGGAATCCTGAGACAAGGGCTCGGTTCTGTTTTAGATTTCTGACACATTCCGTCAAATCATCTCCCAGAAACACAGCCCCAGGGTGGACAGGAATACAGGATTCCAGAAGTCCCAGCCTACAATAAATCCTATTTCTGGAATTCCTGCCTCTTTCCTTATCTGTCACCTACATAGGTATCAGTTCTGTCCCCGCAAACCCAAATTCAAGCCCCATTTCTGTCTGTTCACTACTCATCTCTGGACATCCCACAGATGCTTCAAACCCAGCCCTTCCCTAGTCACCTCCTCTCCCATGGTCACCAAGTCCTCTCACGCCTTCCCCACTCTAGCGGGACTGCCCTTCTTCCAGGCCCAGGTGACACCTCAGCTCCTCCGCAGAAGGCTGCCCAGGCCACCGCATACTGGGCCCTCCCCTCACTTCCCTCCCGACCATCCTCACGCCACACCCAAATCAGGGCCTGCAGCTTCTCCCTCTTCAACATGACAGACACTCCAAGGACTAGCTCCCAAGGTCATGCTGTCCCCTGCGCAAGAGGCCCCAAATGCCAGTGAGATGCCAACTTCATGGCACGATCCTGCCCGTTTCCCTCTGTAGCCCCCACTGTTCCCACCAGGCCCACTAGAGGAGACGCCCAAGCTCATGGCCAAGGACATGGCCCGGCCTGGCTCCCTGCCTCAGGCCCCACACCCCTTCCTCCACTCCCCAGGCACCTCGAAGGCAGGTCACTCTGTCCCCAGGCTCTCCCGGAGACTCCTTACCCAGTTGCTTCTGTCTAGGTTAATCTTGAGGTGCCCTGTCTGCTCCTCGAAGGCAGGGTAACTCTCGATCCTCCTTGGGAATTCTCGCGTCTCCAACTCCCCGAGTCTAACGGGAAAATGTACTGAAAGAAGTGCTGTCCCGCAGTCAGTTGTCATCTGTCCTCTCCAGGCCACCGCCTCCTTTATTAGATTCATCCCAAGAGCCCGGCTGCAGGCACAATCTGATTAGCTCCTATTAGGAAGGACAGAGGGGACATCACCCCTCCCTCCGTCGGGCAACCCAACAACTTCCCCCTGCCTCCTGGAGTACAAAGGGCAGGAGAGGCCGGCAGAAGAAGGAGCCGCTGCCCATTCCCTCCTTCCCACCAGGCTCCTGGGGGACAGGCAGACATCAGAGCCAGGATCTCTTCTCGGAAGGGCAACTGCCTATGCTGAAATGCCTGGCCTGGCTTCCTGGGGAGTCGTAACCCTGAGTCAGTCTGCTCCCACTGTGTCCCAGTGGACACGTGCTTGGTGTGTCAGGAGGGTGGGGACCCAACAGCCTGTGAGCCCCTGCTCTGTGCTGGGTGCTTCACACCCTATCTCATGTCACCCTTAAATGACACTGTGCAGATAATAGGAGCACTGACCCAAGTTGACCCACCAGAAAATGGGGGCTCAACAAAGACAAGAGACATGCCCCCAAATTCCCATCAGCAAATAGCAGCTCAACTCAACACACATGCACCCGCACTCCGCCAGGTGCTGGGGCCACACAGAGGGGGCCCAGTCCCTGCCCTCAAGGGGCTTGCAGATAAGCTTCTGTGCAATGCAAATTTTCAGGTAAGGGTGGTACAAGTTCGAGCCAAGAGCTGATCCGAGCCTCCAAGACCCATCCTAATGCACACACGGAAGATGGCACCCCTGCTTTTATGTCTATGGGCAGCAGCGTCTCCAGCTCTCCTGCCAAGCAGTGGCTGCCTGCTGCTGCTGTGGCTCTGGCCTTTCTAAGGCCCAGGAACTAGGGTGGTGCCATCAGGCTTTCCAGAGACTGAAGCCAGCCAGGGTCTGTGTCGACACTCACTGGGGAAGCTGCCTAGATGCAGGGCTCCCAGGTGGTGTTCCCCCTCCTGTGCCCGTCCTCCCTGCGTCCTCCCTGCCTCGGTTCCATGGCACTAAGCACTGGTACGTGCAGACAGCAGGTCCTGACCACAGGCAAGAGGGAAGGGGTTCAAGGAGGGCCAACAAGCTGAGGGAGCTGCACTTCCATTTGCTCCGAAGGTGGTTGTCCTGGCTCCTGCGACTCAGGGACCCGGGGCATGCGCACATCTGGGAGGAATCCAGAGATGAACAGTGGCCTCTAGGACGGCAGTGGCCCGCCCCGACTGGACGGCAAGGCTTCTTAGTCTAAGTGTTGGCCTGCAGGTTCTGAGTGTGGCTCTGTGCTTTACAGGAGGTACGTGGAAGATCCCTTCCGAAACAGGGCGCTCACAAGGCCATTCATTCGACATAACTGATAACCCATTTGTGTGCAAGGAGGGGCCGTGTCCCATGCCAGGGGAGGGATTTACAGGGATAGACATTCCAATGTCTCTGGACAGAAGTGGACCCACCCACAAATGTGTCTGCTGCATTTGCAAACCTGCACCTCGGATGAGATTTACTCCCAAGGTAGCAAGGGCCTTTGAACCATGGCTCTCCTTTCCCAGTCTTGACAGCGAGAATGCTTTCTCGCCCTTCCCTCCTAACTGGGTGGCCCTGGGACTCTGGCTGTTCTTGGCCCCTCTGAGTTCTCAGAGCAGAACTGTGAGAAGCAGCTTCAAGGCCTGGAAGCAGCCACTCCCCACCCCCAAGGGCTCTGCTGCCCAGCAGACCAGAACCTGGCGACCAGAGGGAGCGCACGTAGCCCTCACAATCACTTGGCTTCCTCTGTGAGAGCTCAGGATGAGGGTGACTGATCTCTGGCAGTTTCTGGAACTGAGAGCTGTGAGAGGCACCCTCATCCCCACCCACTCCCACCACCTGCAGTCAGAGTCCACCTAATGCAATCAGTGCATTAAGGACAGCAGGACCCGCAAGGCTTAACCGAGCTGAGCATCGCTCTCCCTCCCTGCGTCCACTGCATTTTATTAAAAGGCAACCAGGACTAATCTCATTATTGGGACCAGACACTACACATGGCGCACAGCCTGGGGGTGGAAGGCGGAGCAGGGAGGCTGGGAAGCAGGCGGCCTGCGCTGGCCACAGCCCTTCTTATCAACAGCAGGGTTTGAATTGAGTTAGGAAGGATTGTGACTGAGGAAGGGACATCACTTCTTGATGGGTGGAGGGGAAAACAGCTCAGTTGCCCCAGAACCTCCTAGCATGTGATGAAGGAGAAAGCAAAGTGTGGTGTGAGCTGTTAGGGTACTTTCTTAGCACCCCAGTTGCCCCAGAAAGAAGGAGCTTCCCGGGCGGTACTCCCCCTTCCATGCCAGTCCTCCTGTGTCCTCCCTCCTCAGTACCAGCATGGCACTAAGCACGGGTGCCCTCAGAGACAACAGGCCCGGACCAGAGGGCAGGATAAGAGAGAAGCCATTATAGGAGGGGGCAAACAAGCTGAGAGAATGGCATTTCCATTTGCTTCCACGGTGGCTGTCCTGGCCCATGCAGCTCAGAGACCGAGGGCATCCAGACTGCTTGGACCAGGCACCAAGGAACCAGGTACCCGGAAAGCAGCAGAGCTTGAAGTCAAACACTGAGCTCCTTTCCCCCACCAGACAGGGAACTCCCAATGCTTACGAACAAAAATGTTTCCATTTCCATGAAAATCACAAGAAAAAATGAACATTTCGGATTGAGGAAAATGTTGCAATTTTTTTTTTTTTTTTTTTGAGACAGAGTCTCACTCTGTTGCCAAGGCTGGAGTGGCGTGATCTGGGCTCACTGTAACCTCCGCCTCCCAGGTTCTAGCAATTCTCCTGCCTCAGTCTCCCAAGAAGCTGGGATTACAGATGTGCATCACCACATCTGGCTAATTTTGTATTTTTAGTAGAGACAGGGTTTCACCATGTTGGCCAGGCTGGTCTTGAACTCCTGACCTCAGGTGATCCACCTGCCTCAGCCTCCCAAAGTGATTTTTTAAAAACTTATTTTAATTATTATTTTTTTTTATTTTCATTTTTTTGAGAGACAAGGTCTGTCACCCAGGCTGGAGTACAGTGGCATGATCATAGCTCACTGCAGCCTCAGACTCCTGGGCTCCAGGGATCCTTCCATCTCAGCCTCCCAAGTAGCTGGAACTACAGGTATGCTAAAATGTCCAGTTAATACATTTTTTTTTTCTGAGAGATAGGGTCTCACTATGTTTTGCAGGCTAGTCTCAAACTCCTGGTCTCAAGCAGTCCTCCAGCCTTGGCCTCCAAAAGCACTGGGATTAGCGAGACATAAGCCAGCCCTAAAATATTTTGTTTTATTTTTTATTGTAATCCAGTCTGGATTATACTTGTCTTTATACCAAGGCAGTTGTAAGATATAATTTTTATTTTTATTTTTATTTTTTTTAAGACGGAGTATCACTCTGTAACCCAGGCTGGCGTGCAGTGGCACGATCTCGGCTCACTGCAACCTCCACCTCCTGGGTTCAAGCAATTCTCCTGCCTCAGCCTCCTGACAGCCTCCTGAGTAGCTGGGACTACAGGCTCATGCCACCATGCCCAGATAAGTTTTGTATTTTTTAGTAGAGACAGGGTTTCACCATATTGGAAGGGCTGGTCTCAAACTCCTGACTTCGTGATCCAACCGCCTCAGCCTCCCAAAGTGCTGGGATTACAGGCGTGAGCCACAGTGCTCGGTCCTGAATTTTTATTATATTTTTATGGAGGAAGGCACCTATGAAGACCAGTAGGCCAGTGGCTCATGAAAGGCCCAGTGCAGCCCAAGTTAGAGAGATGTGATTTCAAAGCAGGCTCACTGTTTATAACCGTCAGCTCCTGGACAAGCCAAGTCCCTTCTCCAAGCCTGCTTCCTAATCTATAAAGTGGGAGGATATCTGGATCTACCTTACTGACCACAGAGTTACTAGCTAAACGTTTTAGTGTCCAGCACAGTGTCTGCCATGCAGTCAGCACTCCATCAAAGAGCAATCTCAGAAACACGAAATCTGTCCTAAGAGCACCTCAGGAGAATCGCACTGTGGACACAGGTTTGGGGCCACAGAGAGCCAGATGGCAGCTGACACTAATAAATCCACACTACCTTTCTGTCCACCATTAGCCCCCGACACCGAGCAGAAACTCCTGGGGCTGGGAAGAACACAGGATGGTCTGCTTTTAATCTGTGATATTTTATATTCCTAAAATTCATTTATGAATTGCTCAGACAGTAGAGTACTTTTTCCCAGTGAAACTACGCTTTTAGAGGGGGTTAATTTCTCATTCCCCTCTACCAATGCCATCTAATGCCACTGAACCACCTGGTATTAGCATGAGCCCAAGCTCTGCCTACCAAGGGAAGGTGGTGGGGACAGTAAAGTAGTAGGACAAGGCTAGGTGTGGTGGCTCTTGCCTGTAATCCTAGCACTTTGGGAGGCCAAGGCAGGCAGATCACTTGAGGTCAGGAATTCAAGATCAGCCAGGCCAACATGGTGAAACCCCGTCTCTACTAAAAATACAAAAATTAGCCAGGCATGGTGGTGCATGCCTGTAATCCCAGCTACTCAGGAGGCTGAGGCATGAGAATCACTTGAACCTGGAAGATAGAGGTTGCAGTGAGCTGAGATCGTGCCATCCTGGCGACAGAGCAAGACTCCATCTCAAAAAAAAAAAGAATTCAAGAAAGAAAGAAAAGGAGTGGGACAAGCAGGGTGGTTCCACCTCCAGCTCTAGGAGGCTCCTCTTTCAAGGGGATGGGGCTGCAGCCACGTGGTATTTTCCTGCCTCCATCCAATTTCACAGGAGAAATCCAGGCATCTAGAGGAGGTGGCAAAGCTTCTCTTTTTTTCATTAGCTATGAAAACGAAGGGGCAAAATCTAGGCGCCCTGGATGTAACTTCATTTACGGATTCAGAAAATCCACAAAGGCTGCCAAGGTGGAATGAATGAGAGAAGGGGGTGACCAGAAGGGAGAAGCCTGGGAAGGGGACCCCAGATCCACACGGACAAATCCTCACTCCGTGATGCAGTGGGGGACGGGGCAGGGAGTGAGGGAGGGTGGCCCTGCCATCTCCCAGGTGTCAAGGTGGCGGCAGCTCCACCCTCGGCACAGTTGGCACCAGCCAGACCCACCACGAGCCCACCGAGGCCACTGAAGGAGTGGGGCTTTCCCACTCAGGAAACTCCTACCCTCGCGCTCTGAAGCTGGGGGCGTCGGGAGACCCAGGCGGGGACCTGCGGCTCCACGTTGGAGCCCAGGCCCTGCTCCGGGCAGGAGGCGGTGGCTCCGGTTTCAGGTTTCAAGAGGGCAGCCATGCCAAAGGCTGGTTGATCCACTTGCACCCTACCTTGCTCTAGAACGCGGCGCAGGAGCAAAGATCCAAACTCCGGGTCCCCGGCAAACGGGGTCTCGATTCTAACTTCAGCAGACACCGGGCACCGGGGCAGGCCAGGGCGGAAGCCGCCCGGACTCGGAGAGGCAGAGCCTCCGAGAGGGCCCGGGGTGCGGGTCGGCGCGGGAGTCCGGTGCGCGGCCTCAGGGGGCAGGTGCTAGGCCGGCTGCTGCTCCGGAGCCCCGCGCGGTACCTCCCTGCGCAGTCGGGACTCACCTGGGCCGCCCCCGCTCCCACCCCCGGCCCGGCCGCCTACCTCTCCTACCCGAGCGTCCCGCGAGCCTCCCCGCGCCGCTCCCGAGTCGCTCAGCCGGTTCCGCGGGCCTCGGCGCGACGGCGTCGCCATGGCAACCGGGCGGCGGGCGGGGCGGGGTCCCGCGGCCGGAAGTGGCGCACGCAGCCCGCACCCCGGCTCAGGACGCGGCCCCGGGGCTGCCCCGCACGTGCCAGGTCCCCGCGGTGGCGGCCGCGCTCGGGACCCGGCCCTGCCAGCTCTGGGCTCGCAGCTGGGCGAACCGCGGCCACCGTGAGCCCGGCCTCTGGACCAGAGTTCGGGAAAGCTTCGCCATCAGGGCCTCGCGACCCTCCCTGCGGGGCTCCTACGTTCGGGGGCGCTTGGGGTCTGCGGCCCGCGGGGCTGCCCCGAGGGCCGCGGGGTTCGCCCGGGCAGGGGCGGGGCGGGTGGGCCGGGTAAGCCCCGACTGCGCACGAAGGACCTGGGGTCTGCCAGGCCTGCGGGGCGGGATGGGGCCCGGTCTCAGAGGAGAGCAGGTGCCAGAGGCGAGACCCGCCGCCCTTCCCCGGCCTGGCCCCGCGCTTTCTGATTTTCTGGCTCCAGGCCTCCCCTTCTGCCCTCTACCTTCTTCCCTGCCCTGCCCTGCCCTCGCCCTGCCCGGGTCCAGGAGGCCACTAGGTGTCAGAACCGGCTCGGGCCTTGGCCCTGTGGGCACCTCCCCAGCCCCCACGGGGGAGACGACACTGTCGGGAAGGCCAGGACTAACCCCCGCCCCAGCTCCCACAGAGCAGCCTCAGGGGAACACCGGTGGACGCGGAGGCCAAGACCAAGATCGGGAGCCAGCCCCTTCGGAGCCCGGTCCAGGCCCTCCGTCCAGGAAGTGCTGTGGGTAGATAAGGGGTCCAGCTCAAGATTTCCTACAAGCTGGGAACAAAGGGTTCTTTCCTGTCTGATGACGAGTCAGAAGTAGCAAGCGCCTGGGGGTAGTAGGGAAATGGGGTTTCCTCCCGGCTAAGGGAAACCGGCCTCAGCGCAGGGACACCCTCCCCGACCTGCCCTCCCGGCACCAAGATTCTGGGAGGTAGGGAGGGTGGGGGGCAGGGAGACCTGCTTACTTGGATGTACTTTGTGTAGACCGTGGGCTTCCCACAGACAGTGGGCAAGGGAGGCCCTGGGGATCATACTCGCTTAGTACACAGAGAGTAGAGTCTCCAGCACCATGCAAGACGCCCAGGCATGACCACTGCACGAGGCATACTTTCCCACGGGCAGACACAGCAGAGTCCACCCCCTCAGAGAGACCAAACTTAAACCCTCCAGGAACAGAAAATGTTTAGGGTATCTTTCAGTTGGAGGAAATGAATGGGTAATTTAAGGTAAGAAACAGCTTCCCTAGCGTGCTAACAGGCAGAATGCCTGTGGATTGAACATGGAACTGAGCCATGTCCTTTGTTTGGTTTGTAGGTTCGGACTTGGAGAGGAGGAGTGGGGACAGGCTGAGCAAGTCTGAGTTCCCTGGTGACAGCCCTGGGCCTTCAGCCCCTTCCAAAGCCAGGAGAGACTCCTGCTGAGTGATAATGGGGACCCGTTATCTTCCCCCATGCCCCGCGCCCGCCCCAGCAGCACTGGCCTGCAGGCCTTTCCCTTAGGAGGGAGAGCAGTTGTCTCCCTGCCAGCAGTGTTCTCAGGGGCCTGCTTCAAGTGGGTCAGGGTGGGTGGGAGTGTTCTGAGTGAGGGAGAGGCCTGCACACCCAATGCATGGGGAGCTCATGGCTACACCCAACTCATTTTAAACAACAGGCGATGCCACCAAACTGCTGTCCAGCACCAGGGCCTGAAGGCCTTGCCGCAGCTGCCAGATTCCCCAACCCAGGACAGCAGACACCCAGAATGACTGCCTTCCAACCCCATCCTTGCTGCCGAAGCTCCTGGCTTGGAAGCCTAAGAAGTGTGCACTCCTTCAGCTTGGGAAAGGTGGGAAAGGAGAGGACCCCTCCTGTCCTTTCTTTTTTTTGAGATGGAGTTTCGTTCTTGTTACCCAGGCTGGAGTGCAATGGCACGATCTTGGCTCACCGCAACCTCCACCTCCTGGGTTCAGGCAATTCTCCTGCCTCAGCCTCCCAAGTAGCTGGGATTACAGGCACGCGCCACCGTGCCCAGCTAATTTTTTGTATTTTTAGTAGAGACGGGGTTTCACCATGTTGGCCAGCATGGTCTCGATCTCTTGACCTCGTGATCCATCCACCTCAGCCTCCCAAAGTGCTGGGATTACAGGCTTGAGCCACCGCGCCCAGCCTTCCTGTCCTTTCTTAAGCCGCCCAAGATGAGCTCAAGCCTCCCGAGTTGAAATGCTGACTGTGTTTCTTGTGGAAACCCCTCCCTCCCCACACCTCGGAGCCACGCTCCCCTCTCTGCTCTCAGACGCACCAAGTTCACACCCATCTCTCCATGGAATGTTCTTTCCTGAATCATCACTGGGCTCATTCTTTCAAATCCCAGCTCAAGCAGTCACCTCCTCAGAAGGCCTTCCCTGACCATCCAGAGGGCAGCTGGGGCAGGGTTTGGGATTCCTAGATTCCTCATGCTGGGAAGCCACACCTAGAGTGCCCCCTGGTCTCTGACAGAAAGCATTTAAGGAGCAAGAAGCATCAAGGAAGCAGGCAGAATGTGAGCAGAGCTGGAGACTCAGGCACAGACCCACCTGGCACCTGGCTAGTCACTTCCCCCTTGCTAGGGTTACCAGATTCAGAAAGTAGAGGAAAAAATTAAAAAGGATTCCCAGTTATATTCAAATTCAGGCTGCATGACTGGCTTACACCTGTAATCCCAGCACTTTGGGAGGCCGAGGTGGGTGGTTCTCCTGAGGTCAGGAGTTCGAGATCAGCCTGATCAACAAGGTGAAACCCCGTCTCTACTACAAACACAAAAATTAGCCAGGCATGTTGACAGGCACCTGTAGTCCCAGCTACTCAGAAGGCTGAGACAGAAGTGCTTGAACCCAGGAGGTGGAAGTGGCAGTAAGCCAAGATTACACCACTGCACTTCAACCTGGGCGACAGAGCAAGACTGTCTCAAAAAAAATTCAGTTAGTTTTTTTTAGCATGAGCATGTCCCAGATATTACATGCAGTATACTAAAGATGTATTCCGGCTGGGTGCCATGGCTCACATCTGTAATCCCAGCACTTTGGGAGGCTAAGTCTGATCACTTGAGGTCAGGAGTTCAAGACCAGCCTGGCCAATGTGGTGAAACCCCATCTCTACTAAAAACACAGTTAGCTGGGCATGGTGGTGGGCACCTGTAATCCCAGCTACTGGGGAGGCTAACACCGGAGAATGACATAAACCCAGGAGGTGGAGGTGGAGGTTGAAATGAGCCAAAATCACACCACTGCACTCCAGCCTGGGTGACAGATGAGAATCTATCTCAAAAATTAAAAAAAAGATGTATTCCTCACATGTGAGCAGACATCCTGTGTTTCATCTGACAGTCCTGCTCCTCTTGCTCAGGTGTGGGACAGATGGGGTTGGAGCCTCCTGCAGTGCTAGCCCCTCCCAACAGCTTCCCCCCTCACCTCTGAACCAGTTTACCTCATTCAGCAGGGACTTCAGGCAGAGGCCTTGACCTTAGGCAGCAGAGGATACAAAGCATCAGAGATGGATTCCCAGTCCTCAGACACTGTAAGACTCAAACGCACACCATGCATTCTTGGGAAAGTTTTATTTTTGTACCTTCTCTGTGCCAGGCACAAGGGGAGATATTGGGGAACAGTAAACAAGACAGGCACCACCCTGTTCTCACAGGCCTTTCCTCAGGGGGAGCTGCACAGAGACTTGGGGCCAGCCTTTGAAACACTCTGCCCAAGCCCATCTCTGACACCCTACAGAGGGGAAACCAGGATAAGGTAAAGTGCATAGGAGGGAACCTCAACCCAGATGTCAGGGTCAGAGAAGGCTTATTGGGCCATGACACAGAATTATCAAGCTAGAAGATGCTCAGGTGTTAACCCAGCAGAGACAGGCAGGAGCGTCCCTGGCTAGAGGAGCAAGGATGATGCGAGGGAAGGCTGTGGGGGCCTGACCTGCAACCCTTGGAGCTCCTGGGCTTATTTTCATGAGGATTTGCACAGACAGAGGAACAGTGCAGAGCTGGGCCACAGGTTGCAGAATCAGCACGCAGGAGCCAAGCCTTCTCCAAGATCTGGAGGGGGCCTGCCCTGAGGGACCTCACAATTGACAGACACATCCTCCTACAACTTTAAGCCCGGGGGCATCATCTTCCGGGCCTGCTCCCTGAGAAACTTGAAAGTAGGGGATTACTTTTAGGGGCTCGGTGGCTCACGCCTGTAATCCCAGCACTTTGGGAGGGCGAGGCAGGTGAATCCCGTGGTCAAGAGTTCAAGACCAGCCTGGACAAGATGGTAAAACTCCATCTCTACTAAAAATACAAAAATTAGCCAGGCATGGTAGCATGTTCCTGTAATCCCAGCTACTCAGGAGGCTGAGGCAGAAAATTGTTTGAACCTGGGAGGTAGAGGTTGCAGTGAGCTGAGATTGCACCACTGCACTCCAGCCTGTGCAACAGAGCTAGACTCCATCTCAAAAAAATGAAATAAATAATAGACCAATTAATCACTCAGGGAGAAAATCTATCTCCCAGCTTCGGGGGAAGGGAAAGGAAAGCAGCAGCACTGGCAGGACCCACCAGAACAACCAACAACACCCACAAGGCTTCCAGAACCATGGCGAAGACCGTGAGCCACCTGCAGCCTCTGCAATGTGGCAGGAAGGAAGCTGAGGGACATCGCTGCCTGTGAGGTGTTACCCTGTCCCTGGTTAACCCCGAGGCTGGTCCAGTCTGTGAAAAACAAGACAGACAAAAAGAACCAAATACTACTCCAAGAGGAATGGAGAAACCATGACAGCCAGGACAGTTAAGCCCCTTTTACTTACCTCTGCTGGGCCCAAGGGAATGGGACATAGGACTGAGAAGCAGGGCTGAGGACAAGCTTCATGAAGGAGGTGGCACGACAACCCTGGGCACCCAAGGCAAGAGGCGGCCAACGGAGTGGGCTTCCCCAGCTGTCCAGTTCATTCCTGGGCAGCCCTCTGGGGAGCCTACCCTTTCCCAGGGGATTCCCTGGAGCTGGAGGAGCAGCGCAGAGCCTGGGTCACAGGCTGCAGATCAGCACGAGGGAGCCAGCCAAGGACCAATCTGAAGGAGGTCTGTTTTCTCTCCTTCCTTTCTTCCAACAAAGGCTTACTGCCACCTACTGTGTGCCAGGCATTGTCCTGGAGAGACAGATAAAGATCTACAGACAAGGTCCCTGCTTTCATGTAACTTACAAGTGGGGAGACAGGGAGTTAAGAAGTAAACTAACGTTGGGGCGTGGTGGCTCACACCTATAATCCCAGCCCTTTGGGGGGCCAAGGCAGGCAGATCACTTGAAGCCAGGAGTTCCAGACCAGCCTGGCCAACATGGCAAAACCCATCTCCACTAAAAAAATACAAAAAGAAAAAAAAAATTAGCCAGGCATGATGGCACACACCTGTAGTCCCAGCTACTCAAGAGGCTGAAGTACAAGAATTGCTTGAACCCAAGAGGCAGAGGTTGCAGTGAGCTGAGATTGCACCACTGCACTCTGGGTGACAGAGCAAGACTGTCTCAAAAAAAAGTAACATACTACATGTAATTACAATCCATATGTTTGCATGTGTATATATGTCTACACACATGCACAGAAACCTAACTGCATGTGTTTTGAAACACAGGTGTTATGTTTCAACCTAACAAGCAGCATGACAAAAAAGCAGAAGGGGACTGAGCATCAAGCGAGGGCAGGCTCTTGTTGGGGGCACTGGGAAGGTTCTGGGGAGGGAGAACTGGAGTCACAGGCCCCATGAAGGTCTAGGGGAGGCCACTCCCATGGAGGGAAGTGTGAGGGCAAAGGCCCTGAGTAGGAATGTGTGTGGTGTCGCCATCCTGCCCTGCCCTCGTCCACTCCTGTCCCCATCAGAGGGGAAAGTTGCTGAGTGTGCAGAGATAGGCAGGCAGGAGTGCCAGCGGGCCAGGCCATCAGAGAGGGCAGAGGTTGAAAATGTGAGATGTGTTGCAGGGACCCCACCAGCGATTCCTGGAATCTAGGAAGCCTCCATTAGACCCGTGGCTGTAGCTGTGCCTGACCACATCCATCACCTGCCCTTGAACCTGGACATCAAGCCAAGCTCCCTCATCCACCCCAAAGGTTTGCCCTGCGGCCAATGCTGCGGCTGAGTGGGGGGCATTGCAGCCCCAGCATTGCATTGCCCTGGCCACCTCTCCCCTCCAGGAAGGAAATCACAAAGAGGTTGTGTCCCAGGCATGTCCTCAGTCCCCACCTCCCCACGTTTCCCCTTAAGTTGATAGGTCAGTTAGTCAGCTGCTCTGTGAGCTTTGGGGCCAGCATGAAGAGCAGGAACAGCCCCAGCCATCTAGGACAGGGAAGCAAGGGTGTGAGGCCTGGGGTGAGTGATGACCATGGCCTTGGGTGGTGTCAGCAGACATAAACATTTGGAGGGGGAAGATGAGGTGCTGCTGATAGTGACAGCCATCTGATCACCTCCAGGAACCCACCATAAACGGCAGGGCTGGGGCTCCTGCGCATTGTTCAAAGCCTGTGAGGCTCTGAGGTTTCATTCGGCTCCCAAAGCTACCCCAGCTCTGGCCGCACACCCAGCCCCTGGTTCTCCACCCAGCTCCTCGTCCCAGGAAAGCAGTGAGAATGTCGCGGTTGCTCTGAGCCAAAACTGCAAGGCAACATAGCCGAAGCCTGGAGGATGCCCCAACTGGGCTCACTGACCTTGGTGACTCCTCCAAGGTCGCAGCAAGTCAGCTGCACAGTTGTCCTGAGTGAGAGGTTTCACCTGACTCTGCTCCCTCCTCTACTCCAGCCTTTATGCTTCTCTTGACCTTGGCCCTGGCTGCTGCATCCTGCCTTGAGCACTCCTATCAGGTCAGCTGATTCTTGTCAAGAGCAGGTTAGATTCAAAGGGTACAGTGACTGTAATGCAGAGGCTCCCCCACCCAAGAAGCCACAGTCCTCTAATACCTCCCAGCCGTTGGGAGACTCTCAGAGGCGGCCTGGAGCTAGGGGAATCGCATGCTCAGCTGGTCTCCTGGTTCCAGCTGATTTCAGTCTCTGGCCTCATTGCCCCATGGGTCAGTCAGTGCTTGCTGCCTTCCGGGGATCCAGGGGCAGCTCCCAGAGCAGCAGCAGGACCCTCCTACTCTTACAGCAAGAGGGAGCTCAGGGCTTCTGGGTAGATTTGGCTCAAGGCCTGGCCTCAAAGTTCTCAGACCCAAGAATGTTCTCCAAATGTGGGTTCTTAGGTTCCAGCGCCCACAGCTGTTGGAAGGAGACTCCAATAAGTCACTATTATGCTTGATATGTTAAGTCATTATTAGACTTAACAGCCTGGGGTGTGATGTCAGGTCCAGGTGGATGTGACTGAGTGCTCTCATCTCTGAAGGATTTTTTTCTCCCCTTCCATATCCCCTCCAACTGATAAATCCAAGCACCCCGGGGGCTCATGCTGGCCCAGCGCTCAGTCCTGGCTACTTCCGTCACCCTGGGGTCCAAGCCCAGCTGCTCCTCTTTGCCTGGACACAGCAGCAAATGTGATTGCCCCACACCAACTAGTCCAGGCTCCTAAGCTCTTTAGCGCCCAGTGCCAAAGACCCCCCATGACACCCCCAAGCTGTCCCCCACTGCACCCCCATAGTGTCCAGGTGCCAGGTCAGCACCAACCTCCCCCAGCCAAGGCCCATCCAGTCTCCTCTTGGGGTCTCTCCTTGGAGGCTGCCAAAGCCTTTCCTGCCAGCTAACCATCAGAGAGAAGGCATCACCCCCACTTCTCTCCTCCCTGCACATCTGTCAACCCAGCCACCCTGGTCGTGAGGGGGATGGCAAGTGGGGACCTGACCTGGCCCCAGAAGTCCACTGCCATGTTCCCCAAAACATGACACTTTTTGCCTGTAACATCTGCATGAAAGGCCCTCTCGGGAGGTACTTCTTAAAGCAAACGGCTCCGAGCGAGCTAAAAACTAAAGGTCATTTTCTCCCCGAGGAACACCTCCCATGACCCGTTACTAATGTCTTCCAGTTAAGTTATTTACTGAAAGCCTCTTGAGAAGAGCTTGGGGGAAGGTGCCAGGGGCCAGAGGCCCCTTCAGAGGGCTTGGCCAGGCCCTAGACTTCTAGAGCAGAGGGGTGAACCCAAAGATGAATTGGCCTTCTGTGTCCTTGGTCCCCTGATAGAGACAAGATGAAAGCCAAGAGGAGGGTGCCTCTCCCCAGCCCAGGCTCCCATGGCCTCTCAGACGGCAGCTGTCCCTCCTTCCCTCCCTCCCTCCCTCCCTGTGGGTCCCCCATGTTTCTGTCTCTGCTCCCACAGCAGGCTGTTTTGTTCCTCTCCGA